TCAGGGAGAACGTGGGGAGTTGTAGATCAAGGCTCCATGTTGGTTAAAAAAAAAAAAAAAATCTGGGACTCAAGAAAAGGTCCTTTCAACTCTCTGTGGGTAATGCAATCCAAACAAAATTGATCTGATATTACACTTAGAGGGCAACAACGTAGAAATGAAATTGATTGATTCTGCACAAGTGACTCGGTCTATGCACAAATACATTAAAGTGCCCTCTCTGTGAGTGTGTGTGCACTCTGTCATCCAGCCTGCTTACTTATTCATTCCAAAGGTAGCATGCCGGGGCTGGGAAACCATAAGAAATATGCTCTTGCTGCTGCGGGCCAGAATTTTCTGTCGATAACCCGGGTAGCATCCATCTTCCCAAAGTCCACCAAAGGTCAGGAGCAGCATAACTTAGACGCTGGTTTGCATCGGGTTCTCGTCTGTATTCTGCATGTTCACCACCAGCCTCCCCCAACAGAGGGCTGGGTGGCTCTGTGACACTTGCCCACCATCCGTCCACACATACACACGCACACACATATACACAGAGTGAAGAGCTGAGGATGGCTGTCTTGTAAATCTGCAATGGTGAGGGGGTGTTGTTGGTGAAAGCATTGTTTCACAGTCAATAAAAAGGGCCCTGGGGTGCTTGTAAGAACAGCAATCTGCAGCCATTTTCCAAAGAGAACATCTCAGGAGTGCTCAGGGGTTATAAGTTGAGTTCCTCCTTGTATTCAGAGTTAATATTTCGAATAAAAACTGAAACAATAATACACCGGGTCCACGTTGCAGCACCTAATGGGAAAAAGATATGGAGTCACTTGCACCCGGTTTGCACAGGAGAGCTACAACTCACTCCAGGATGGACAACAAAACCCAGAGAGGAAGCCAACGAATGCTAACACAATCATTATTTATTTATGTATTCCTCAGGTTGTTTTTTTTTTTTTTTTTATTATGTGCATTTTATGTCAGAAACATTCACATCATCTGTCATACAAACCATCGTCCTTTCCATCCGATCTAATTAGCTCTGTGAGTAATTCTCTGCATATGTAAATACTATTTCTATCCATTTGTCCGTCACCTAAAATGTGCAAATGAGATACTGTTTTGAGCAATTATTTCAGCCATCCTTGCTGGACCATATGGCAAATAAATTATGAAAATATGCTTCTCACACAATAGCCATTCCAATTAGCGCTCACTCACTCAATGTCAATGATTATAATCCTCAAAATTCTTTATTTTTTTTCCAGATAATGCAGTACATTTTAGCTGCAGCGGAGTATTTTCCCTACAATGTTCAACAGTCTTTAACTCGACGAGCAGTCCATAAATGTACAGAGGTGTTTTTGGATGTGGATAGTGGAGGAGCTGTGCAGTGACTGCCTTTATGTCCTGGGTTCTTTATGATTGCCAGCCTTCCTTCGAGGATAATCCATGTTGTGAAATTGGAGTGCAGTGCTGGAATATCAATTCGTCTTTTTTTTTTTTTTTTACTCCTGCTGCGGGTTCAAAAAAAAAAAAAAAAAAAAAAAATGAAATGGGACTTGACTGCTCGCTGGATATGAACCCATGGAGTAATCTGAACATCAAGATGACACTGCAAGCATGGTGGGAAAGCCTGTAGAGGAGTTTAAAGCTGTGCGCATTAAGAGCTGGACAAATGTACGCCGTAGCACCATGCCACAACTACAAAGCTCCTCATCTTTGGAGTGTGATTTACAGGCAGGGTTTGACATTTTGAGGAATACACTGAGTTGCTGTCTGGTGGGAGTTAGATAAAAAAAAAACAGAAAGGTGAATTTGAATACTTATCTGTCTATTTAAGGTGAGGCTTAAGCCAGCAGACTGTTCACTCGCTGGCTTGATGTTTGCTGGCACAACAAAACCCACATAGCAGCCTTTGTGAAGCTAATTAGCATGAATCTTAGCTGTCCCCTTCATGAAAACCAGTGTTGTTATAATCACCAGCTGGGATACAGTGAATAGTTTACTTTGCTGAACTTAAACAAACCAATAATTTCGGTGTCAAATCATTACAAGTCACGTTGTGTTTTCTGTCACTATGTTCCTATTTTTGTCATCCTTGGCTGAACTGCTATTACTGATCTAGTTGAGAGGAGAACAGTAAAGGTAGGGTGACCATACATCCTCTTTTACCCTGACATGTCGTCGTTTTTGGGGGCTGTCCGGCCTTGTCTGGGGGAGATTATAAAAACTACGTGCCACTCTGTGATGCCGCCCTCGCGTAGTCATGTCGTCTTTTTAAGGATTCAGAATATAGTCATCCTAATAAAGGGAGGACCTTCTTAGGATCTGGCCTAAGAACTGCAGAAAGAGGCTATTAGCAAGAGGCTAATGTGATGTACGTTGAACTATGAAAGCACTGCTCTGTACCATTCAATTGTATAATGGTGGAGTTGTGTCTTTTTCACTTTCTTTGTCTGTCCAAGTTTTGTTTACCTCCGCCTCCTAGCAACGCATATGCTATTCAACCTCTGGCTTAAAGCCTAGCGTTAAAACAGTGGAGTGCTTGCAAAGTGCTTAGGAAGGTTAGGAAGGAAGGTATGTTAGCCTGACTCAAAAATGTTTGAGAAGTTTTGGTGTGATTTGTGTCGGACTGATTTGCTTAAATTTTTTAAAAGTTTCAGTTTCAGCTGGACTTGGACAAAAAGTCAACTTTTTAACCTTGTGAAAACACACTGAGTGTTTTGTTGACCCTGGCCCTTGAGGCTAGCTTTGGCCAGCATGTTACTTTTCAACCAACAGTTGTGTAACTCAGTAGCAGTTCTGGCCAATGCTCGCTATTATACTACTTTTGAGAGTAAACCAAACAGGTGAAATTATCATCCTAATTTACCCCTTGCCTCTAGACCCATTTTTGTGAAGAGTGAAGTGTCAGGGCTACATGGCCCTTCAAACAGAGATTTATTAGAGCTACACTCTAGCAAGAAGAATATGAGAAATCTCCCAAGGTTGTGAATTAAGCAGCAAATCACTTTTCAGGTAACAAAACAACTACACCTTTGTATATCTCTGTTGTAGGGTCAAAAATTCATGATCACCTCCTTATCACCTTGGTATAAATGGTTTTAGAGTATTCTGATTCTGCTTTCTATAACAGGCATTTAAAAATGGTTCATATCCCATCAGTATAACTAGTTAGAAAGCTGACGTCCCATCTGTTTATGTAAATGCTTCTGATGTATTAAGGTCTTGAAAGGTTGTCCTTTCTCAAATGAGAGAATTTCACTTTGATACAGAAAACCAACGGGCAAAATCTTCCCCCGCAGTACTTGCTAGCTCTAACTATTATGTTTGTTTTTTGTTTTGTTTTTACTTTTGGGGATTTTCACCATCATTTTGATAGGACAGCTTGAGAGAGCCAGGAAATGTGGGGAGTGAGTTATATCATCACTTGTTCCGAGTATATAAGGTCTGATATGTTCTGCCTTGATATGCAAGGTTTTCATTAGTGAAAATGTGAAAATATCTCTACTCTTTTTAAGGTAAAAACAAAGGAAAGTACTTAAAAAGAAACCCTGGAACGTCATATATATGTGACCAAAATTTAGAGGGATGCTGATCAAACGTTCTACCAGAAAACAAAAGAGGGTGTCATCCAAAATGTCTGACTTTTCCTTTATGTGTAGAATCCTCCTCTGATAGTTTGTCCTCTTTGGCCTCACAGCTGTTAACTCTGGGCACAAACCAAGCCATGCAGCCATAAAAGGACTGGATGAAGCCCCTTTTGAGATGTTGAGTCACTAAACCACATCTGTGCTTGCCCAAGATCAAAGCAATCAAAGTAGTTTGGCAAAGGTCAAAGTGGTGTAATGCTTCCTTTAGGAAGGCAGAAACAAAGAAATACTTAAAGACCAGTCAGGTTTAAAAACTTTATAGTTCGACGCAGTGATTTGGCAAAACAAATGTGACACAATTCAAATAGCACCTCAAGGTCAAACGCTTGGTTGATGCCAAAAAGCAGAGCCATGTACACGCTGAGATAAGTGACATTCACCAGACAAGGGCAACTGGGAATAATTCTGTAAGGAAATATCCTGGCATCGCACAAAGAATTATGAAAACCACTGGTGTTCCTGCGTGGTACAGGATGTGGAACTGATTAACACAGAGCCGCTACACTGACTACACACACTGAAAAACAAAAGGCAGAGACGGTTCACTGGCTGCTCTCTAATAGACATTCATTGGGTTTTGTGTGGAGACTACAAAACCAGAGCTTGCTCCTGTCTAATTTGGTTGAATTAATAAACCATGTCTCCATCTACTCGACCGGGCGTGAATATGAATTCTGATTCCTGCGGTCACAGAGTGGAGAGAGGAGGGACAGGAAGGGCAGGTGAAGGCTAAACAGTCAACTGTCATTCTGTGACTTTCATCCGAATTCATCCGATGCGCACGTTGCCGCCGAACAGATTGTTACTGCTGCCACCACTTACAGTACACACACACAACCACACACACACATGCACGCCATCCTTGTTTCCACCCTGTCCCATGAGAGCAGATACATGCAAAATCCCCAGGGGCAGTTTTTACAGGCATCCTTCATTTGGAGGTCAGGCCCCGTTTGACCTACAGTACTTTACGGTACAAATCCTCGATAGCAGACAGGTGCACGATGGATTTGGCATTTCCATGAGCTTCTGACCTTGACTTGGCTCAGGAACGCACAGATAGCGCTACAGAATGAGCTTATTGTTTACCACACAGCCTGCAAGCAACACAACTTATCAACCATAGACTCGCATGGCCCCAAAAGCTTTATACTTGTACACAATATGTGCAAACAACAACAAATAAATAAGAGCATAAATCATTAATTCCCCCCTTTGGATAAGCATTTTCCAATAATCTGTTTTTTTGTTTGTTTGTTTGTTTTGTTATTGTCCTTTGAGAGAGAGGTTGTGCGATCTGTAATCTAATTAAGCCTCTGCAACAATGCTGAGTTTGAGCGAAAAACACATGAATAAAGAGGCAGATTTTAGCTCCAAAATTAGCATTTTATTTGGATGGTTGGGGTCAGAGATGGATAATTTGTTTCCAGTACACATGGTTGTCCACAAGGCTTAAATCCAAAACCTTTTCCAGTCTTAAAGCTGATCCAGTAATTAGTGCCTAGCATGTCATCCAAGCCCCCCCCCTGCTGCACCCCCACCCACCCTCCACCCCCCCTTTTTGGTACAAATTCAACAGTTGTGCTGACAGATCACTACTTTTCAGTTTTTATAGGTGTTTTTTTTTAGGTTTTTATACAAAAAAACTCTCTTTACTTCTACACATTTAATGTCACCCAGATTTTTATTTTTTTTTTCACTTTGTAAATAAATTTGGGAAACAACATTTTTCATTTTTGTTGTCATGAAAAGATAAAAACATGCAAAAAACTTGAATTTGTAGTCCAAATTATACATTTACAAGTTTGGAACTTTTTGCACTTTTTCATATACTACATCAAAAAGAAAAAAAAAAGATAAAGAAAAAAAAAACATTATGTACACACATCTTTTTACAGTGAAGTAAAACTTGAAAATATCAGATGATGACTAAGGCAAATGAAGTGTACATAGATTAGACCATAACAGTTTTTTTGTTGTTTTTGTAAAATACTACATCACTTCAGAAAAAAAAAGAAAAATAATCTGCTACAAAAGTATGATTCCCAACTCCCTTTAATTGCAACCAGCTGCATAATTGAAATTTTTTAGTGAAAAAGTCTAGAAGTCTAGCGTACTGTACAGTGCTGCTCTTCATTGTTTTTCTTTCCATCCAAAGCTAACAGGTGATCCTTCATTTCTTCGTCTTTGTATTTAAATAATCTTCAACAAACAGGAGCATTGTGGAACCAAAGAAAAAAAAAAAGCATGTAGAAGCATACCAGAGTGTAACATACTTTGTTTGAAATCACTCCAAAAGTCAGTACCATTAAAGCCTTGAACATAAAACTAATCATTTAGATCCAAAAAAATGTACAAAAAGGCACATTATATCCCAGTGCTTCTGTACTGTGAAATTCAAGTGTAACTGAGCGCATTCAATACCAACAATCCAAGTGGTGACAGTCCACCAGTGTGCCCTCCCACAGCCTCCAAAACTGGACCACAGCCTATGCCTAAGCTTTCAACAAGCATATGTATGCGTAGACTACAACAATAAGCCTAGGTTGGTTTGTTTTTGAAAATATTTCTGAATCAATGTTTGTTTTTTGTTTCCTCTCTGTCACAGTTCTGTCACTCTCTCAGGGAATATCAGAAGCTGTCCGTGTCCATCAACAAGAAATCTTTCCCTCTCATCTTTTTTTTTTTTTTCTTCCCTCCTTCGTCTTTTCATCCTTGGGGAGTGGCTGTGTGTCCTAGTCATCGCTTCCGCCGTACATGTCTGCCAGTTTTCTAAAGCGAGGGCCCCAGTCGTTGAGGTAATCGTAGTCCTGGTCGCCCCCGCTGCTGGAGGAGTTGAGGGAGCTTAGGGAGCCGGCTGTGGAGCCGCTGCCCTCGTAGTCGAACACTAGCAGGGAGTCGTAGGGGGGAGCGGTGGGGTCGTTGTCTGCTGCCTTCAGCCCCTGAACAGAGAGGAATAAAGCCATGGTGAGATGAGGAGATTAAAGCACGTCTGCACACCGACACTGTCTCCAATAAGAGGGGAGACACATTAACACAGCCCCCAACACTGCTGCACACCAACAGGCTAATCTTCTTTAAACCTGTCAGTACTTGGTCCTCCAATTGTTCAGGAAATAAGATTAATGAGACTCTGTGTTCTTCGAGTTTCCTCTGTGTTTTAGATCATCCACTGCTTGATCAAAAGCTGAGATAAAGTATGACCAGCAGGCTCACCAGACTGAAATCATCTGCCTTTCTTGTTCTGACCCTTTTTCAAGCCCTACTTTCTAATCAGAGGCCCACAGACAGAAGTACAACTCTAGGCTGATACTTTATCATTTTGATGACAATATCACCAACTCATCACGTCTTCTTCTTTGACAGTGAGAACTGAGCCCAGCTGAGGCAGAAATAGGACCGGTATGAGCGTGTCGAGCACGCATGCGTGTCTTTGTGTTATCTCCTGGCTCGTGGCGCCGATGGGGGTGGTTCTGTTCTGAAGATTGTGCTCGACATTCCTCGAAATCCTCATGGCATCATGAGAGGTCCTCATGGATTGTTATTGATTTCTAGCCCCATTCCCTAACGGGACTCTGGAGATTTGATGGATTGCTAGTCTAGGAGTGGAGATGTGCCTCGGCCATGAACCCCCCTATTGGATATGAGCCTGGTTTTCTCCCTCTCGCCGCCGCTGCCACTGAGGATCCCCAACAAATAATAAATGAATTAACGGAAGTGGAGCAACATAACGCCGCGAAATGAGACCCCAGCTCGTTGGGAAGATGTGGAAGATTTATAGTTTCCTCTGCGCTGCCATTATAGCGCTGAAATGCTCTCAAATAAAAAGATGGATTGAATTAAAGTGCCCGGGCACTTAGCGATTATTTTCCACTTGTTAGCTTCTGTTAAGTATTTGCTCAGGGCTGCAGCGCTGATAATTTGGTGGGAAATATGACAGATGGATCATTCATTACAATTACAACCATAAGCGCTCCGCTGGTTATAGCCCCCTACATCCACGACCAAAAACTCCACCGACACTTTCATGAGGTTCCTCTATCACAGAACTCATTATTTCATTACAACTGAGTCATCCGCTGTGCTGCAGACAGACAATCAGTGTTCATGTCGTCCGATTTTGGAGCCGGTCTGTCCCGCTGATAACAAAAAGAGATGTGTAACAAAACCCTCTGGGTTTCCCGTCAGAGATGAAACAAGGACAATCACCTCGGCTTTGTGACACTTGGTCCACCTGTGACCAACACAGGTCAGCCAAGTGTATTTAATGTAAGCCCCCTCTGTGGGACCAGACCAGGAGACCTTTGTTTGTCCCCTTGTGGGGTTAAAGTGCTTATGCTAAACCTACGCCTAATTTATTTCCCCATTTAATTTAATTAGCCGCAAGCTCCTTTGGCGTTTGTACATTACAGGATGGAGATCAGACCCCCTTCTTCTCCGCCCCTCCCCCACTCCTCTCTCATCCACCCCCCTCCTGCTCCCCTGGCAGCCATCCCTTATCAGTAAGGTCAGATTCCAGCCGTGTGAGCGCTGGAGCTACCATGACTGAGCTTTAGCGACAGTCAAATCTGGGACTAAAAACAGATCAACTTTTTTCCTGGTTTGCAGCGAGCGTTTTCTGGGTCAGGGTGCTCAGACTTGAAACGTCTCTTCGCTCTTGTGAGAGTTTTTTAAAATAAGCGTGATGAAAGACGGTGCGCGCTGTGAAACGTTCTTTATTGAGCGGCGCGGAAAAATATTAGATTTCGCTCAGTATCAGCTGTTACGACAAGTCGTACGAGGTGTATTAATGACACACGCGGCGAGGGCGAAAACGAGCGGCGCCTGTGCGTGGAGGGATCTGAGAGAACGATGGTTGAAGGGAGTCAGCCTGAGAGAGCAAGGTCTAATCTAAAAACATGGGCGCCGTCCAAAACCTCGAAGAGAACTCCATTTGTAATGCTGTGAAACTCTTGTCTGTTGGAACTCGTGAAAAATACATGACTGCTCTTTTCATTTTACATTCTCCCTTCATGCTGGAGTCAATGATGGCCTCAGGCAAACGAGGCCACTCTGAACACTGCTCTCCCATAGAAAGCCAATGCATTGCTGCTCTCATCTCCTATTTCTACGCTGACACATCTGTAACTCCGCTTTGGTAGAAAAGTGAGGAGAAAAACAATTATATTTCAGGGAGCTCGCATCATGGACCTCATCGGCCTCATGCATGTTTGAGTGGATGTCAGTTAAATGAGGAAAGTTTCTTCTCTCTGCTGGGATGAGGAGGGTAACTATTAAAATTAACTGATTTAATTTTAAGTTGTACTTCTCCTCCCCCTTTAAAGGCCTTCCTTCTAATGAGTCTGAAGGAGAAATTTGTTTATTAAGATTAAAGAAAAATCAGCCTTTAACATCCTTCGTCTTTCACACGACATAATATCAACTCTTTCATGTGTTTACCTCATTGATAAAGTCTCCGATGTCTCCAGGGTGGGGTGCTGCTGACCTCATGGGGTACTGCGGCTCAGGGTGGAGGGGCCTCTCGTCTAGACGACGGATTCCCACCGGCTTGATGGCGTCGTGCTCTATCGTGTCCGGCTGCTGAAGCTGGCTGAGGTCGTAATCCTGGGGAAGACACGGGGGCAGATGGGAGTTAGAAGAGCGAGAAGAGATCCCGGACTGTGTGTGACTGTTTGAAAAACTAAAAGTTAAACACATCCTGAATGCTACAGCGATAAAAAAAAAAAAAAAAAGAGTTCAAGTGAGTGTAGAAGATTTTAAAGTTAGACTGCAGCAGGAAGAGTTGAGGGGACATGAGGGGAAACTTTAATCTTCTTGTCTGTGAAGCACAAGCCTAGGGACAATTTGACACATTAAAAGAAGCGGCACCGAGGGGGTCCGAGGCTGAAGACCACATCATACGCTGCAGAGTGTTTGTACTTGTGCGGCGTGCTGCAGGAAGGATGTGCAGGCGACTGTTTTGCTCTAATCAATGCCCAGACACGGGATGGTGGATATGCATAAGCCATTGCTAATCCTATTAACATTACCAAGGCAACCTGAATGGCTCGCAGTTTGTGCAAAGTCATGGGCAGGCAAGGAGGAGGAGAAAAGAGAGGGGAGAGAAAAGGAGTTCGGGGAGAAAAACCTGAGCTGAATGACGGGATGGTATCTCAGTGACAGCAGATATGATAGAGAAAACCCTATTTGAGAATCAGGGTGTGTGCCTAATAAGCGTGCATGATGGATTGTCCCTCTTTAGAAGATTTTCGGTAATCCATCCATCTCTAATATCCCTCTTCAAAATTGTCTTTGCTCAGTTGCACATGTTCCCACACACACATACACACACAGTAGACACACTCAAAAGGCTTGCAGATGCTCCAATGTAAAAATAAAACGTGAGAATAAATATAAACCCTGTGAAGATGCAAAAACAACACTGACACCACCAAGCACACGTGCACTTGACAAACACAAGCCCAACTCGGCGGTAATTCATCCGAAATCTAAAACAAACACATTGATTATTCATGTGTGATTTGATTTTCATGGAGAATGACAGTAACCCGAGGCCAGCGGGAGAAGAACGGCGGCCATCGCGTGTCACACGATAACGCCATCCATCATCTAAGGGTCGCTCCGCTGTGACTCCTGTTTCACCTTGTCTGAGGTCACACACCGGAGGGGTCAGGAGTTGGTGACATGAATTGCAACGGAGCCGTATAATGGCTGAACTAAGCAGGAAAGTCTAATGACACACCAGCCTCCCTCGGGGAATTGACTCTTCACACGTACAGTGGCCCGCTGAAATGGCCGCCTCTGGCACTCATGACCCACATTCGATAATGGAAGAGTGAACATCGCAAAGCCTTCTACACTTTATCTGTCACAAGATATAGCTGAGCAATTTCAAACAGAACCGCGGCTGTATTTCCATAGTGTCTGCTTCAGATCTTCGGTGAAATAACACTGACTTAATTCTTCATTTGGAATTATTCCCAAAGGCTACGAATCATGAGCGATCAGATGATCGCGCCGCTTTAAGAACTTCGAGTCCGGTTAACTCATTTTCAAAAGTGCAGGTTCTGGAGTAGCTCTGAGCACACAAGGGACGGACCATTACATGGCTGTGCTAACGTTCGGTTCCAGCCTCCCTGGAATATAACAGGCAACACCATCGAGATGGCCACTTTCATGCCTGTTTGAGCCAAGTGCCATTTAGCTTTGCATAATATCTAGCGATAGAAATACTCCAGTAGGGATGGGTGATATAGGCTTAAAAAATTCATCATGATAAGATTTGCCATTCTGGCGATAACAATTAAAGTCCCGATAAAAAATATTATAATTCCAGTCGATATTTTTGACTCATTCTGTCTTGGGAACATTAGTTGGAGTAGTCAAATAAGATACTTAACAAGTTTAAGTGGTAGGTTATGGAGAAAACTAATAACATCAAACAAGTCTCAAATGTGAAAACATTTTCAACATTTGTTAGAAACTCTTAGTGGATCTGCTCACTCTGTTCACTCTGTGCAATGTCTGATGAGAGGCATACCTGATTACACTTATCTAAGCCCCAATCTTAGAGGAAATCCCTCATGTGGAGCCTTGTTCAGCAACAAGCTGCTTAGAAATGTCTTCTTCATTATCTTCGGCCATGTTTGTTTGTTACTCTGCTAGTCATCAACTTACATTTATCGTACTTATTATGAAATGGCAAATATTTATTGTGGAGGATTTTGCTGACTATATATCGTGAATAATAATTTATCGCCCATCCCTTTACTCCAGACTATATTTTGTTGACTGTGCACTTCTTATCGTCTTAACTACTGCTATAAATCGACCATATCATCCCTGCGTTGAGGCTAGCAAAGCGTGATCACTCTTGTCTTGTTTGGTTTAGTTGTGGTGTTGCTGCTGTGCTGCTCCAAAATGGAGGCATTTAAAACCTTTTGTACCACATTTTTTTGCGATTAAAACAGGTCCAAAACACCCCCGGGTTACAATTAAACAGAGCCGACTGAGATGATAAAATTGTCTTTGTGTCTGACGGGCAAAACATGAGGCACTTGAAGTATCTACAAAAACAGGTCGGATTCGTTTTGTTTCACTTACTGTGTGGGATTGGAAACAAATCAAAACATTTTTCAAAGCGTGCTTCCAAAGACACTCTGTCTAAGGTTAATGTGCATCAAATTATTCAGAGGTGATTTGAAGAAGCAGATGACTCATCTCTGTCTTACATTTTATTTTTCCTCACCTGTGAACCTGTGCACAAAAACTCCTCGATTTGCCATTATCTCGGCATCATTTTTTTTTTCTCCCTGTCTGTGCGGCTCTGCCTGATCAGCTGTCTGCTTTTGATGAAATGAGTGCCTCACAAACCAATACAAACCAGGGCAATGGCAGCAGCAACTAAAATCATATACTCCGGGAGCGTCCAATGGTCTGACACTTCAATTTCCTCCCCAGCGGGAGATAGGGTGAACAGAGGTGGGCATTATAAAGACCACATCGCCGGGAAAGAAAGGGACATTTTTTACCCAACACTGACTCGCCTGATTCCGCAGACAAGACCATTTTCTCCTGGCGCCCTGCCTACCTCTGCGCCACTCAAAATTGAAGCTTGTTTTCTCACAATAAATTGCTGCACCAGCTTGTTGGTCTTTAAGGGGTCTTGTATACGTTTCATTTTTGTCCTGGACAACGGCTCCGTGCAATTTGTTAAAATGAGGATGCGAGTGCACAAGTGATGGACTCCCCCCCTTGCCTAATCGCTGGCTGGTGTGTGTAATGGCCTCCTCGTCATACTGTTACCTTAGACAGAGCTTCATTATTGTGCCACAGCAGATGTCTATCTCGGAATGACATCAGCCCACCAATTACAAGTCTCCCAGGCTAATTTGGCACTTTCCCGGGTCAGACCGGGGTCTCCTGCTCATTTCTGCTTTACCTAAGCCTCTGCAGCGCTTCAGCCAGCAGCCAGACAATTGCCCATTTGTAATAATACTGCCTTCTCTATGAAATGGTTCCGTTCTGCTAACAAGGGGTCATTAGGACAATTGAATTAGTGTCTGCGTGTGCCTGATCAGTGAAGGGGGAATACAGAGATGTGACTTTATTGATGACTGTGGTAGCAATGTGTGTGTATTAGTGTGTAAGCAGGATCCAGTTCCAGTCAGGAAATACAGTTCCGATACTTCCAAAGCTGATCCGATCAAAATGTATTTATCCTATCAATTCAAGTATTCCTATCTCCAGTTTCAAGTTTACACCCACAGCTGTCTCACCCCTCAGTGTGAGGCGTGTATCAGCAGCCGTGTAAGCACAGACTCGTATGTACTCTGAGTGTATGTACGCTTGCAGGAAGAGTGTAGGGGGTCCTCTTTATCCTCACGACGCTTCATTTCTACAGAAGCTGCTTCTGTGCTGCATACAGTGGATGTGACCTGAATGTTTTACACAACAAAGCCTGCGCGCTCCTTTTAAGGCACCCTTTCACTTTTACAGCATTGTGCAGCTCCGTAGTATAGAGGGCTGAGTGATGCTTGACTTTCTGTCACGCTGGTGTTACCACGATGGAAATACAAATAAAAAAAAAACCTCAACTGCCTTTTCTGACTGAACAAATTCAAGCAAAGTTACATTTTAATGCACTCGCTGCTAAAGTGTCAGTTTGTTGTTTCCTGTTTAAAATGTTGGTGCTCACTTGAAGATGAGATCTTTTTTCTTATTATAAAAAAAATGTGATATGGAATAGAAATCATTGCTCGTACGCCGTGAAGCAGCGAGAGAAATAGGTTCTCGGGGCCTATAATAATAATAATAATAATAATAGCTACTGAATTATTGAAGAGTCAACAGTGTGTGAATCATTCGTACCTGATCCTCCTCTCCTCCACCTTCTTCATCATACTTGAGAATGTTGTCTCTCACATCATCCTCCGGATCGATGAGGAGCTGCTTGGCCTGACGTTCCTTATCGCGGCGCTTCATCCACACCACGAACATCAGCACAAGAACTGAGAGGAAGGCGGAGAAGAATCTCACGTTACCAAAAAGAGCTAATAAACAACATATTTTCATACGAGCTTAATGGAATCCCATGTTTCAGAGCTTGGATGGTGGCCTGATGGAGGCCATCTTTTTTTTTTTTTTGGTAATCCTGCAGTAATCTAGTGGTACCTCGGATCATGTTTAGCTGTCTTAGATAATCCCTGTGTGTGATCGTGAGATGAGTTGTGTGAAAGAGGCGCCGAGACACTCACTGAGGAGGATGATGATGCAGAGGAGGATGGAGATGATGGCGCCGGTGCCGAGACCGGCGGCCATGATGTGCTGCTGGTCGGTGCAGTCTCCGTTGATGTCACACTGGCACACTTTAATCCGCAGATAGGAGGTGTTGGACATGGGCAGGTTGCCTGAGTCTGTGATTATGATGGGGACCTCGTAGATGCCGCTTTCAAGGAAGCCGATCTTCAAGCTCATCTGAGCATAGTCACCTGAGAGGGGGAGAGGAGAATAAATGTACAGCTAATCTCTGTCAGGGTAAATACATACAGTATGTTCAGTTACTCAGTGTCTTCAAGAATAAAATCACGTTTCCTTTGAAGAGGATTAATTCAAAACTCTTGAATAGTCGTTTGTAAGGCTGTGTTCACGGCACAATTACACTCAAATTACCACAAATATTCAGCGTGAATTCATACCTGGAAGTTGCATCAGCATATCTAATCCAAAACATGGTCAGGATTTAGATTTGGAGCTTATAAATCCACGGAATACCTTTTGATAATGCTGCTTAGGCTAAATTCCCAGCAGCTGTAATCCAAATGCCATTATCCTATTAAGATATATTCACTGCTTTTCAACTCTCAACGTCTAATAGCTAACACACAACTCTTTATTTCCTTCTACTCATATTTTTGGATGGAATCGCCATAAACAATTAAAAACAGTTTGGTTATGTTGATGTAATATCATTTTAACAGCCTCAGCTCCACTCTATCTCTCTGCAGCCTGATGTTTTTTTTAGCAGTTTTCTCTCCAATCATCACACAACAGTCACCGAAATGCAGGAAGGGTTATCTCTTCCTCTTTTCGTGAGCCAATAACTAATAAAACTAAGGATGTGTGCGGGCCAGGAGATTAAAATCGACATCGTATGAGGTCAGGAGACTCACAACTGTGACGCAGAGTTGGACTCAGACTCGAGCGCTGACTGCACTCAGACTCTAAAGGATTTTTGATAAAGGCCAGTGTATTGATTTTGTTCATTTTTTAATATAAAGGTCTTATTCAGTTTTGAGCACACTATGTAGTGACCAAAACAGACTTCTCTTATCAAAAAACAACATTAATTATAATGACGAATTATTCTGACACAGGAAATAAGGATTTGACCCTGGCTCGACTTTGCTGAGCTCAATCTGACTGTGACAAGTGTTGATGATATTAAACCGCGTCTTACCGCTGATTCGTGTGATGGTCCAGTTCCTCCTCACAGTAGCGGGCCGGTAGGATAACTCGAAGGCAAACGGCCCGGCGTTGGGGTTCAGGTCTCCATCGAGCGCTGTGATGTTGATGGCGTTGGGCTCCGGCTTTTCGCATATCTCCGCCTCCTGAGGGAACACCCTGGGAGCGTTGTCGTTGATATCCAGCAGGTAGATCTGGAGAGTACCCGTACCACTCGCTGGAGGTACACCTGCATGAGTCATTTAAAGACACACACTTTACTCAGAGCATCCATATTTATGAGGAGGGGGATTTTTACTAATTTACATATGGATAGGAATATAAACCATTGAAAGGCCATCTCTCATTCATTATGCAGTTGACAGAGAAAAGTAAAGTGTGGAGTTTTTTTATTTGAGTCTCATGTTATAATAGGACACTCTAAACAGCTATTTACTCGAATGGGAGAAGACCCATCCAAACTGCATACTGATCTGAGAATCTAATCTCAAGTGAGGAGGAAGACAGAAAGAGGGAGATATCAGGACATTTGTGTGAGTGTGTGTGTGTGTGAGTGTGTGTGAAGAACGTCTTCCTGACGAAGGACACGGGATGGGAATACTAAAGCAGACAAACAGAGCCCACTGTCGCTGCTCTCAGGCTCCTCTATGTATTCACTCAGCTAAGAGGCTTTTTTTATCATTCAGGCCACGCTCAAAGGAGCTAGTCATCCAATCCTGACCCATTAATGCTGAGAAACCTCTTTATTGGTGGAGTTTTTAAGCCTATTGGCCTAAGCTATGCTCCACAGAACAGGGTAAACCTGAACAGAGGTAAATCCCACCAGTGCAGGAAGAGGTGAATATATCCACATGCTGGATGGTTCGGGGATTGCTAGCCCATTAACCTTCAACTAAGGTGGTCACTGTTGCAGACACACCAAGTGCCTGGTACAAGGTTGACCTTCAAGCATGGAGGATGTCTTTTGTGGCTGTAACTGAGATAGTTTTTTTTCCCACCAGATAAGGAAAGTTGGTGCTCTGCCTCCTACTGAAAAAGCATCACAGAGGTAGTGAAAGTGGTTCTGGCTTAAGACTGACCTTTGAGAGGAGAGCTGTATTAGACCTCCACTCTGCTTCCTTCTGAAAAGGCGGCATTATCTTCCACTGAATGCTCTGACAATAATGGCTTGCAACGGAGTGCTTGTGGAACAGCATGGCTAAAATACCTTGACCATGTAACCCGTGCATCACAGGAACTCAACAAGGTATTTCTGGAAACTGCAATTCCACGAAAAAAGAAAAAAAAAAAAAGGTTACATACCGCTGTCGGAAGCCAGGAATGTAGCGTTGTACAAGCTGTTCTTCACATAGGGCGACTCTCTGTCTAAAATGGCGATGGTTGTTATGCGACCGGTGCTGGGGTCGATCCTCAGCCAGTTGGCCGGATCTGAGAGTTTGGAGTATCTGAAGGAAGAAAAAGAAAGATTAGCTCGGTGATTCATAATCCTTATATTCATTTAAGCTGAATTTCAAGACGGAGCTTATCTGCGAGTTCTTTTAAACGAGCGGTGATAAAGTTTAATAAGGTTTAATTTTGTTGCGCGCAGAGAGAAATCTCTGAGCTTCTCTCTCCATCTTCAGTCTGGCATCGCTCTTACTTCTCGAGACGCTTTTGTTTCTATTTGTTTACACAGAATAAATATTTTAGACGCCACGCATTTTACATAATTATTCTAACTTTTGCGAGCAGCCTCACAGGGGAGACCAAAACCAGCTTGTTGTTATCAGGAGCTCAAACTAATTTGTAGGACAAACCGTGGAATTACAAAGCTAGCTCATTTCACACAGACTGTTTTCAGGCAGATAAACACTTCCACGGCCAAACAGCTGTGAGGCAAGACGTCTGATGATGAAAAGGAGGAAAAAAAAAAAAAAAAAGAAGTAGAGCCCGTTCTAACAATGAGATGGAGAAATGCGTGCTGCATAGTTGAGTAGGAGTGATGCGGCGAGTCGTCTAAAACTATCGTGTCACTACTGTTTTACTCATCAGCGATTCACATACCAGCGTCCTTACTGCTGCCGGTGCCAATTATTTTAGCTAAATGTGTGATTTAAACATCTGCCGGATGCTCAGGGAGACAGACTTCAGAGGAAATCAACCTAACTTTAAAGGCTGAAGAAATTTACCACTTCTGTCACAGGGCTTTAACCTCTCCAAAGTCTGTGACGGTTTCATGAACCGTACTCTGACCCACCTGATGGTTTGCTGCATGAAGCGATCAGGGTCCTGTGCAGTGAAAGTGGTCAGCGCGGACTCAGGCAACACTCCCTCCTCCAGTTTGATGAGTTTGGGGTTGGGCTCAAAGTAAGGGCTCTCGTTGACATCTATCACTCTGATGGAGACGGTGGCCGTTGACTGGCGAGGAGAGTGGATGCCTCTGGCCAGGGGGACCTCGTTCCTCGCCTCCACCGTCAGCACATATGTCCTGCTGATTTCATAGTCAATGGGCTGGAAAACAGTGAGAAACGGCGCACAAAGGGTGAGTCACACATCTAAATGTGGCATAAATTAAACAAAAGAAATCATGTTATTTCACTGGGAATGTGACACTGGTGAACAAATCAAGGAATTAAAGCTTTGGTTTCCTCTTGCATGAAAAGCCCTTATTGTGAAAGCGAACAATGGACAGTGGGATGAGATAAAGAGACTGTTTCCTTTTGTGGTCAGCTGACGGAAACACAGTGTTTGTCGATTTATCAGAACAGAACTTCTATGGAGTCATTATACACATGGAAACTATTGTTCACACAGCTGGATCAAACAGGTATTGGCTTGCTGTGTCAATTTGCAGGTAGAAGAATAACATCTTTGTTATCTTTGCTTTTATCAGATTCACTTGTCATAAACATAAATATTAATTCAGGTAGCATCATCTGACCCTCTCACTAGAGCAGTATACATCAACTATGCATCTCTTTAGAATAATATGGGTGGAGTTTGAGTAGCATGCCTTACCTTGACAACCGTTACCAGGCCCTCGTTAGTGGTCGGATCAGTGGGCACTGAGAACCTGCCGGTGGGGTCGCCCCCGGTGATTTTGTAGACGGCGTTCCATGCCGGCGTGTTGGGCTGGTCCTTGTCAGTCACCGTCAGGTTGGCCACAATGACATTCACACGGTTTTCAGGCACCTCGCCGAAAAACTGCATGAATAAACCATGAACGCAGAGAACAGCGAGCTGTTAGTGATACTGCTGTGGCAGCGGAAAACACTCCGAGCCCTGCCTCGCACAGCACAGCAGGACCAATCTGGGGTAAATAGACATCTGAGGTAACTTATCATGTCGTCATGGTCATCTCATTCCCTGTCCTCCCCTGATAGCACAACACTGGCATTACAAATTTCAGTGACTTGCGCGCACGGTAAGTGGCTCTCTCACTCAGGCAGACATCCCCGCAGTTGCATGTGTCAACATTTGGAGGAGGATATAACACTTTACGCATGGCTGGCTACTTGTATATCTGTATGGCTTCAGAACTGCTGGGCCAGCAGAACCAGGTAAGTGAGCAGAAGTGACGGTTGAGTGCATATTTCTACAGACAGTGAAGGGAAACAGGGGGCCCATGCGGTGCTTTCCTTTTCGCACAGATTGCTGTGTTGATGTCTCAGATGAGAGTTTGTTTCTTACCGTCTCAGCAGTAAACTCTGGCGGATTGTCGTTAATGTCAGTGACTCTGATGACAGCGGTGGCCGTGTTGGAGAGGCCGTACATCGGGTTGCCTTCCATGTCGGTGGCCTGGATGATCAGAGTGTACTGAGGCACTTTCTGTAGGGAGAAGAAAAAGAGGTTAAAGCAGAGTTCAAAAAAAAAACTGTTGTCTGATCTTATATCTAATCTTTCATGTGAATTCTGAAGTCTACTATTATAGTTATAGTTTATATAGATAGAAGGTAGCATCCTTTAACATAAGCTGAAAGCACAATGCATTAGACTTAGTACGACCAACCAAAATGAGACAGATCTTCGCTGGCTTGCTTCTTAATTAATATGACTAATGGTGTTTTCATGTGCATGCGATACACTCTATGGGGGACGAGTGTTTGCAAGTGTGAAACTTGCAGCTTTGCTTTGTACACCATCAGAGAGCAAACAAATGACTCTTTTCACATTAAAAGCCACTCTGGTGACGGACCAGTTGCTGGGTAATGAGTGTAGGGCAAATTACTTTCATGGTGGCAACTGGCGGACATAAAACGTCAGCCCCAAGGCGGAAGTGATTGAGCAGCCACCTAGCCAGATTGCCCTCACTAGAATTGCACCAACTGGCGCCGGCTTTCTATATCATTTTGTGGTTTTGTTTTTTTTCACAGAGCCAATCAAATGACAAATAGTTGCATTTACAGGGAGGGAGGGAAGGAAAGTGAGGAAGAAAATCTAAAGCTACTGCTTCAGAGGCATAGAGACAGAAAAGGCATGGCCGAAGAAATGGAAACATTTAGCTGCTCAGTGATGCACACTACCTCCATGTAAGAGTAAATAAGTGTGAAAACATCGGAGTCCATTTCTACTTCTCATTTAGTTGGTAATCAGAAAAATTCACATTGGTTCATTAGGTCTTAGACAGGCCAGAGAAAAGCAAATCAACTCAAGCTGTGTTTTGTTATCTCATTTCAAAACAGGCACAGTCCGTTTATATAATCATGGAAAATAAATACATGCAGCACAGGAAATGAGGAGGAAAATTACTTCGTGAATGGAAAGAGTTGTTAATAAAGTTTCACTTAACTAATGCAATTATTTTGTATCACTCTGAGTTAGGTAGGGAGAATAATGGCAAAAACAACGTGGTGTTAAAGGAGTAAAAAGGGAGAAACTTTGGTGGTAAACCAATTTATAAGAGGATGAAGACTCAGAGAGTCCACACTGAAGGAAAGAAAAAACATGTGTCAATTACCTCTCTGTCCAGGCCTGCAGCCACGGTGATGATGCCTCCAGTCTTATTGTTTATGGTGAACATGTTGGAAGTCGGACTCTCTGGATTCTGAGACAGGATCTTGTAACGCAGCATCCCGTTTGCTGTTTTGGGGTCGTCTTTGTCAACAGATGTTACTGTCATAACAAAAGTTCCTATAGGACAGAAAAGATAAGATAAAAATATTTGTGAGTGATCTCTGTATGCATTTATTTTTGTACTGGCAAAACATTTAAAAATGAAAACACTGTACTACGTTAGAGACATCCAGTGTTCTTACTTGTGCTAAAAAGTACCACTGATAGCTCTGATATAGCAGAGGCAAACTTAACAAAGTGAGCACCGCGGGAATGCCATCAATGCTGTTTGATCTGCTAACACACAGCAGCGCGTGGAGCCAGAGGCTCAGACTTCAGCCGATCGGCTGCTCATATAGTGTGATGCTGTGCCTGGTTTTATGTGGTTTATTACCTGGCTTGGAACCCTCTGGAACAGTGCCGTTCCAGATCTGATGAGTGAACTCGGGTCTGTTGTCGTTCATGTCGATTACATTGATCACAATGTCAATAGGGTTTTCTACCTGGTTGCCGTTCAGGTCCACTGCGTGAGCCCTCAGCTGCAGAAAACACAAACACATCTGGACTGTAGAGTTGTTCAAGCACAACTGTGCAAACAACGTATCAGGAAAAAACAACTCAATGTCACCCGTTTAAAAGCTTTGATCATTAACCTCACTTACTATAATGGGTGTCATGGTTCTGATTCTGCAGTAAGAAAAACTGATCCGTCATCAGAAACTGCAACAGTTTTCTATCATCTCTGGGCCAAATCTAACACTTCTGCTTTATGGTCCCTCTAGATGAAGACGACTGTACTTTCCCCTTTTTGAAAGCGCCACAGTGGTTTTTATGACACGCTCTGTCCCTGACGAGTAAAGTACAGCAGCGAGGACTTGAATCAAAAGTGTAATGGTGTCATCCTGAAAATAATAGGGGAACTATTCACTGACACGGTGCTTAGAAAAATATTAAATAGAACTTGAAATCGGAAGGAATTATGACCTTACATGCGAAAGTGAATCATAACCCCTGCTAACCATCGCTGAAAACCTTTTTACTCTTTACAGAAAAGCAAACTGTTTTGAAAATCCTATTTTTCAGACCAGTGTGACCAAGAGAGGAATTCAGTTTCCACAAAGAACAAGGTTTTTCCCACGACAAAATCAATCATGTGCGAGGCAAAAAGAAAAGCAAATGACTGGGTTTAGTGGTACCTGCCTGGGTCCACAACAGCATAAGCCTTTGAGCTGCATTTTATGGTGGTCTTTTGACACAGATTTTCAGAACTGTTACTGACAACAGGTCAATATAGGTTCGGTCCTGCTTTACAAAAAAGATCCGAAGGTCTGCTGCATATGTTTTGAACTACAAATGCATTTTTCCATATATAAACAAATGCAAGGTCAGAGCCTCGTACAGGATTTCATCCTGATACATCTATACTCTCTGGGGTTTATTCAGGTTATGTTTTATGTATGAATGATTGACAGGCGGTGTTACCATAGTCTTCAAGCAACCTTTCAAATAACTACCTTACAGTTTAGTTCAAGTGTAAATGAATCTCTAAATTGCTCTATATGCCATAGAATTAGATAAATAGAGCAAATTAAATGGTGAAAATAAGGAACAAGGGTAGCCTCAAACATCAGCACTAACTTCACTAAAACACAGTGGCCTGCTCCTTTAACGCTTTAATTTACAGTTCACTTCATCAACCCGTGAAAAATCACACATGTAGGGGATGAACAAGTTAAGGTATATAAATTCATTTTAAGTACACCCATTCTTAACCATCAATTGTACCAGTTTGTGTCAGACGATTACTGTAAATTAATCGCATTAAATGGTAAGCTATATAACTTAAAGACCATTTCTTTGTAAGGGATAACTGCTAATGAGCGAAGCAGCTGTGAAAGCGCTGGAGGTTATTATACATCTAACACTAAAAAACATCACGTTAAATCCTTTAAATTCTCAGACGGATCAGTCAAGATTTCCTGGGAGACCCCGGTCTGCATAGTGTCTGAGAAGACTGTGTGGGCAACACATGACTCTGAAGCACATGCTGACGGGTTGGAACAAACAGCGCAACCGCTGAGAGACCGTTTCTTTAAATGAAGAGGAGCAAAAACAACATAATGAGGATGTTATTAAGGTTTGAAAAAAACAAACAAAAAAAAACAAGTGTGTCTGACTTACATGGAAACTGGAGATGTGCTCTCGATCCAGCGGCTTGTTGACAGAAAGCTCTCCAGAGATCGGGTCGATGATGAAGATTCCTGTGGGGGGCTGGTCGGCACCAGGGCCCGTCACACTGTACCTGAGAGACCTGTTCTTGTCGTGGTCTGACCGAATCTGTGGGTGCAGAGGTTTTTTTTTTAACAACAACACCAAATATATCCCAAACTTTTACCATGATATGAATCAATCTCACTGTATTCTGGAGAAACTCAATTAGCTGCTTTTACACCAAATATCATACATATCTTATGATAAAAGCACAGAAAAGCATTATTCACATGTAAATTTGAGTATTGGTTTATAAATAGGTTGAAGAATGAAAAAAAATAGGCCTACAAGGGGGCCCTGTGTCTGTGGAGTATTGAAGTCCTGTCTTGGCTCAGCTGTCTATTCCGCCTGCCATGTAAGCTGAAACTCTCTGTGCCTTCACCCTGAATCCGTGCTGAGCAAACAGAGCATTTCCTCATTCTGATATCATCCGCTAAAGCCCAGAGACATCCCTTCTAATATGGCTGGATTAAATATAATACATACAAATAGCATGTACAGGACTTAACACTGGGTAAGGAAGTCAGCTTAATATGCTGAAAAAGGATCGAGTTCTTAGCTGTCCCTCGTATTGCTTGTCCTCTGTCAGCCACCCACACCCAGCCCTTACCACAGAATTGATGCAAATGAATCGAGCTCTGTGTATGTGTATGTGTATGTGTGTGTGTGTGTGTGTGTGTGTGTGTGTGTGTCCTTGAGCCCAGATAAAAGGAGTGTAATATCTCGACAGTCTACTGAGAAGCAATCGCGATGGCGGGCACTTCAGATTTCTCTCTGCTTTCATATAATACCAAGTGACATTGATCCAAACCCCCCTCCCCTAAAACTAAAGCTAAATAATACATTGGGAAAAAACTCCTGACCTTTAGCTAAGTGCTGTAAATACAAAGTGTTTTGCTAGAAGCCCCTAGTCTCGTGTTTGTGACCCCTTGAGTGGGAGCTGAGGGCAAAAGGGACCTACAAGGTTGTCATACCAGGAAAAAAGGCATTGTCTTTAAAGTTGTGAAAGACATGTGCATGTGAGTGTGTGTGGATGTGTGTGGACCGTGCATGCGAGTTACATACCCGGACAAGCTCTTGTGGGAACGGGCCTCTCGAGTTCTCTGGGACATTGATTGGGGGGATGACCCAGTCTCTCTTCATGCGTTTGAGTTGGCTGTCGGTGTTTCGTGATGGAAATGCTATTTCCCTCAAATCCTTGGATATGACTGGAGGGACACCACCTCCCTGGGCCTGTGAAAAGGAAATCATTTAGTTCAAGTGCTGTGTAGTGATCCTATCTACTTGCAGTAAAAATGAGTACTTTTTAAGCAGCTGCACTGCTCTTTAGACGGCAATATTGGTCAGTTGGTCAATCAAAAAACTCAACGGGTTCTGGGTGGACTGGTGTAAATTACATGCAGGCTTTCGTGGTCCCGGCAGGATGAGAACTTTGACTTAAGGAGCCTCTTAGTTTTCTCAAACAATTTCATGAGGTTGTATTTAATGTTATGAGTAAGACATCTTGACATCAATTGAATAGATTACCATATAATCAGATACATACGCGCAGCCATGTTCCCCTGAGGATGCAGTGAAACCCCTTCTGTTTTTTTTAATCCAGAAAAACTGACCACATGTTGTGAAATTGGAGCTTTTTTAAACTTCTATGTTAAACATGAGTATTTACAATGCTTCCTAACCAAAAGACTTTTTAAATAATTCAGAGACATTTTCTAAGACCTCCTCCTTAAAGCTGGGACTAGATCCTGATCGAGGTGGTAGAGATAAAAATTGTTCTCAAAGCATCTTAGCCCTCAAGAGAGCTCCTAAGGTGAAACACGGTTAGGAGTGGTGAGGAGGACTTTGAAGAGGCTTAAGAGTTTCTCAGGCAGGGGGAAAAAAATGATGAAAAGACAGTGTGATAGGAGCAATGTTCTCCAAACACTGAATGGCAATGAGATAATTAAATACTACAGGTTGACTTGTGCAGGGATCAAGCTCGAAGCTCACATGCTTCACACCGACGCAACGATGCAATGTAGCTGGGAATGTAATCATAGCATGGTATTTTGACGACTGGAAAAACGCATCAGTCCCACTTGTGATTCCGTTTTAACAAAAGGTTAGCGTGGAGAGGCTTGTTTTCAATGACACAGCGAAACTAAGGAGGGCAGAATAACAGTGGCAACTGCACAAGAAGAAGAAAAGCAGACAACTCCCTCCTCCTGTCTTTCTTTTGATCATCTACAGAGAGGTGCAGAGAAAGTGCAGATACCACGCACCTGAAGCTGATCATCGAGGGATAAAATAATAAAATAACAACGGCCAAGATACTTGAGAGAGGATTTAGTGTATGTGGAAAATACTGCTGTAACCATTAGTGTGAGGCTACTGCTCAGGTGAGCGTGTGTTTTAATATTCTGTTAACAACAAACTTTCCTTTTTATTTAACAGAGATACTTATGATATGAAACGGTCATTAAAGGTCCCCTATTATGGCATTTGTCTTAAAGTTTAAATCGGTCCTAGAGGTCCCACGATAGCAAATTTGAAGTTTGTTGTCTAAAACCTTCAGTTTATTTGTGGATATCAGCCAGCCTGTACCCCCCTCTTTTTGAGCTCCACTGAGAACGGGCTGATTCTCCGCCTGTACCTTTAAATGATAATGAGCTGTTTGTAACCACGCCCCTCTCTGGAATGGGCTGCGGCTTTCACTCCGACGGACGTAATGATTGGATACGATGGACGAAATGCTCCATCTGTCCCTGTGTTCGTCCAATAGGAGGTAGTTCATGCGGTTATGTCATCATAACCGCACAGATTTTCCATTTGCCCATTTGCGCTCATGTTTTCAAGCAAGAAAGGGTAGGAATGAAAGTCCTGGCTTCAAGGGGATGCATATTATTAGTAGAAAACCACTCAAAAGTGGATTTTTCATAATAGGGGACCTTTAAAACCCAACATCTGATCATATTCTCTGATTAGATTAATAGATATCACCGCTGTCCATGCTTGATATCATAAGGCATCATATTATATCATCAAAGGTTTTTTTTATCCTTTCAAATCAATAAAAACAGATGCCAAAAAACAAACTGCAGTGAAAACCCTTTAGTTAAACAAAAAGGAAATTGAAGTGGCGATAAAAGGAAATAGACTGCTATTTCTCTCCCGAAACTAATAAGCTCTTCCAAATGTCATTTGTTACCCGTTTAAAATGTGTGTTCAATCAAACCATCCACTCCTTTATGACTTCCTTTGTAGCTTAAAATATCGACAGTGCAGCATGTGATGATTTTCCTCAAAGAACTTTGGTGTGGCTCCTGCGCGCAGCCTCGCAACGCCGGTGCGGATTTGCTTTAAATGGCAGGCCTCTTCTTATGTCCTGATAAAATGCACCCACACAGACAGACCAGCTCCCATAATGGATCTGCCATCCTCCCTCTGCTGTAATGAATGAGATTTGAAACAAAGGAGGATGGTACCTGCAAGCCAGACACTAAACACACAGATGGCTCAAATTGCCTATGCTGCTCCAGAGACTGAGGAGACTGAAGTAGTGCCAGAGAAAGTTAAAATAACCTTGAACACAACAAGGCGGGAAAGAAAACAGAAAAACAATATGTAAAATATGTCAATGTCAATGAATGATAGCTGGGATTTCGACTGCACTGTCACGTCCCTTTAAATATCTTCCCTGCTGTTGCTGCAACTCATCTGAATGTTGACTTTTTTTTTGCTAAAGAACTAAACAAAGTTTCCTTTGCAAATAGATATTAATTACCACTTTACCACCTTAAAATATGACCCTCGTCCCACGCTCCCCCTTCTCTAACATCTGGGGAGCAGTCACAGAGATTTCACTAATCATGTTTGAAATCCGATTATTCTGCTTTCGCACATTGGAAATTCAGAGAGGCAAGCAGACAGATAGTAAAGGAGCATACTTCAGAAATATCTATTACCCTATTAAAATGGGTCCGAGCGAGAGCAGTAATTATTTGCAACTTGTGTCTGGAATGATGAATGGAACGGTGGGTTTGTTCAGCCCAGTTTGCATCTATCTCTGGTGCACTAGGGGTCTGCACCTATCCACACTCCGTGAACCCCCCTCCATCTTTGGAGTCCAGGGGAATGTTAGGCTGAGTGATGACCTGAGCGTTTGCGAGTGTGTGGGGAGGGATTAGGCATGTGTGTGGAAAAAAAAAAAGGTCTCTTTCAAACACATAACTGTTTTCTCCTCACGAACTGCGGTCAAACCGAGGTTCTAATAGAGGTGGAGATAGTGAGCGAGGACTCCCTCATGTTAATGAGGATATTGTTTGGTTGTCATTGATTAAAATGTTTCCCCAAGGCTGCTGCATTCACGGACTAATAAAAAATGTAATCGCTGATGTGATTAAGAGATGCGTGATGATTCATGACAATAATTATGCTGCGAGGAAGACAACCGCTTGTGACCTCTTAAACGTGCAAGAGATACGGGAAAGTCAATCCCTGATTTCATTACAGACGAATCAGGGGCAAACCCGAGAGCTCTCTGCAGATACAGATCAGAGTACAGCTGCTGATGATACAGCTGATTATTTGTAACAACATGACTCGCCGGCGTGGCGCTCTGACTTTTATTTAAAAACTTTGAAAAACCTCCCGTGACTTGTTTACCTGCATAGGGGAAACCATGCATTTGCCTTTGACCGAGCGACAACAGTGACTGATGGTATCATTAAAATCACATACCTGCAGCAGTCCCTATAGTTAATGAGTGTCAGTGGATAACGATGGTGTTTTCAAAGCCATGAAATCATTACCGGCTACACATTTAATTTCAGCCCAGCAGACCAGTGAGCCCACAGCACTACAAGTAACTACGCATAAATGTCAGTATTAACTTTTTAATCTGCAACCACATAAAATACGACCCCGGGACTTTCCTGAGATGATCCTCTGTGCTGCAGATCTTTAAACGGCCACTTAAAAAAGTTTGCTTTGGTGTAGTACGGATATAAAAAGGAAGTGCAAGTCGGTCTTTGTAAAATAAACATGATTTTAAACACGGCTGTTACGTTTGGTGGTCGCTTTAAAGACTCCAGAGGTGAACTTTTAAGGCGATTGTTCTAAAATGAACAGAAATGCTCTCATGAATCAGTGGGTCAGGATGGAGAGGATCACAAACCGTTAGATTAAAACAGCAGATATTACCTAATTGAGCAGGATCACATAATCCACCGGCGCTGAAGTCTAAAACCGCTACAATAACGCCGCCTTTAGAGCTTCTTTTCATTTCCTGGTTAGGCGGCAGACGGATCGGACATGTGCGGTGCTTTTTCTGTGCGATTCCTCTGATCCCCAGCCAAGCACAGTGTTGACATATGAGCACATGGTCATTCTAACTAATTGCAGATGACTGCACAACACGTCCAGTGGAACGGCTGGAGCAGCACTCCATGGCTGAGACAGATGCTTCTTGTCTTCTGAAGCACCCAAAGAGGTGCGTCCCCCTTTTTAGATGATATGGCAATAACCTCACAATGACAAGGCTTTGCCCACTGAAATCAACTTTATGAGGAGCTATTTTGCATCTGCTCTTGCCATCCACTGACCGTGTTGAGTATATGTTTGTGCTGCTAGTAAATTGACACATTAAGTTTTAATTAGCCGGCATCCATCCAGTCTCTCGGAACACCTGCTACAATTTAGGGAACTAGTCATCTGTGAATGTGCGGCGTGCCTAATAAGTGTAAGTTATGTGAGGCGAGGGGCGAATTGATCGTTCCACCTTTCTATGGCGGTAACATCAGTTGGATAATCGACGAACAAGCTAGGAATCTTATGAAGGTGGTGAAGGGTTTGTTTACCTGTGTGGAGGGTGTCAGCCTGACTTGAGTCACCCATTGCTGCTGGCTGGTGGTGTCGCTGGCCTTAATCAGCAAAAGTGATGCTGGGAGTGTAGAGAGCCGAATACTCCTGGCTGCATAGACCCCTCCATCAGCTTCTATCCGGAAGTCGGATGGGTTACTGCATTCAAACCGCACCAGACCGCCTCGGCCACAGTCGAGAAACCTCACTGCAAAAGCAGAAAGACAGATGATTAAGGTTTAGAAAAAAAAAGCTCAACAGTGACGGACAAAAAAACAAGAAAATAAACTGGAGTGAGACAATGGAGGGAGAAGACAGACAGACACGCAGACAGACAGAAGGTCCACAAAGGTTTTCTGATTCTCCTTCGTGCTCATACATTATTCACTTCAAGCTGTGCCCCAAAGGTATTGCTGAAAACAGGTGCAGTGGAGGAGAGAGTCGAAGGGGGAGAAAAACTAAAGAAAAAAGGGAAGCGTGCCCCTTAAGGGCTATTAAAGAAGAATCCCAAACCCCAAAGCATTACCTTAAAGCCAGCTGTGTAAATAACACCGTCTAAATGCCTTGTAGTGTTTGGAAGACGGAGGATATATACAGCCTAAATAAAACATGTTTAATTCTGCTGGAAAAGTCTTATTTTATTCTCAGCTCGAGCCATCGCATGCTAGCTTTGTCCTCCATGACATACAGGGATGCCTTCCGTGGATGACTGCCGATCCTCAGCTCCTCGAGAGAGCGCGTGTGATGTTTATTTCATCAGCGTGCTCAAACAGAAAAACACGCTGAAAGTCGTGCACGCATACGTAGGCTGCAGACAGGTGGCTCATGGGGGCCTGAGTCCCGCGGGGTGCCTCGGTGGCAGTGGTACACCACCAGTTCACGTTACAAGTGAGTGACGGCACAGCACAGCCCACGTAGCTCCAACATGTACACACAAACACCAACACACACTCCTCAACACCAAATAACAACAGTGTGTGATCCTTTTGTGTAGCTATATTTCCCTTACAGCCCCCCTCCTCCTGTTTATTGCACACAAAACAGCATAAAGGGAAAGATAAAAACTCCTCCCGGCCACAGAGATCACAACGTTGCCGAGCATCGTTCGTGTGGAGGCTCTGCTGGTGCCGCTTTGAATTATTAAAAGACATGTGGAATTACTTAACAAAAGCCTTGAAGGAGGGTGCCTAATCTTCCTTTGTGCGGTTACCTCAGGGACCCAGTGGTGTCTTCAGAGGACTAGGAGCTCCTATGGGCTTGGGGAGAGGATGCAGTAGATCCGTTCAGGGTCCGAGGGGGAAGTCATAACGCGAACTGTCAGGCTTATTTTAATAGTTCCGCCAAAACACGTGCAATCAATTGTCCTGAAGTACACCACACCTCGCTACTACTTAATCTCTTGGCAGTGACAGGGGGTGAATTGAACACTTTTCTTGTTGCTTGTAACAGCAGATGTTTTCAGGTAGATGCCCTTGGTCCCAGCGCTGACAAAGACGTACGTGTTTTCTTGGTGAGCGACTACAGGCGGAGTGGCTGAAAGAAACGCAGGTGCTGCAGGGGAGGGAAGGAAACCGAAATCTGCTTTTTAGGAGAAACACTATTATTCAAAAGTGAAGTGAAAATATCCAATACAAACTTGCATGTTGGGGGTTGGTCTATGGGAAGTTTACAGACTGACATGCTGCGCAATCAGAATGTATTCACCCTGTTGAATGAATCTGCAACCTGCTCTGCTTTATCAAACCCCAAACAAGGAGACAAAAACTCTCAGCAAAGACCATGTGAAGCATTCGATTAGAGCGAAGAGATTTCAACTCTGACAAAACAAGACAACAGCCTCTTTTTACCTGAGTAGCTGCAATTCATCTAAATGTTTCTTAACAGCTCTCAAGGTGAAACAGCATTACAGAAGAGGCAGCAGTTCCAATAATGAAGATAGGAGATGACAAGATCCTTCCTCTGTGCTGGAATACACTTGATATTGACCATCTCTTCCTGGCTGCCTTTGTTAAATTACCCTTGACCAATTATTTTTCTCTTTCTTTGAACCTGGCAAAGCTGACATCAGATAGATGACCTTTTTTTCTGTGAAGGTTTTGCCTTAAAGCCAGCAGCCTGTAAACTCAAAGCCTCCGGGCAATCACCAGCCAGCCCAAGTCAGCAGATCCTCAGACAGAGGGAGAATACAGAGTAAGTGTCTGTCAAAAAAATATAAAAAAAACCCACAATGCAGCAGGAGACGGAGCAGGGGGCTTTCAAACTTCACTCAGAGGTCGCTGAGGTCTCACTTAGACCTCTCCATCCGAGGTGCCCACGCAATAACATACTTGACAATGCTGTTGAGCAAATGTACGACTATCTGCTTCTTTTTGTTGTGGTGGTGATGATTGTAAGTTTGAGATTTTCAGAGGACTGTCTTTAGGTCATCCAACAAAATAAATAAAGGCATCACTTTGTCTCTAGGAAACAATAAACAAACAATAAAAGCCATTTTCAGTAGGAGTGTCCCGATAAAAATTTTTTACTTCCAATTACTACTTCCAGATATTGTAGCCTTCAGAATTGGCTGATCCGTTATTGGCACAAACTTGTGCATGACAAGTTTTGCACTTAGCTGCAACGTCTTTTTTGAACTCAAACAAAAAATACTGCCACACAGCCGACATCACTTCTACTCTTTCCTACTTTGTACTTTAGTACACACTGTTGTCGTGATTACATGGTTCTCTGCATGCTAGATCTGGGCGCTGCTAGCTAGAGGTGCCAGTGGAGTGCTGATATTGGAGATTTTAGATGACGTCCAATATAATCCGATATTTCTTTTTTGGCTGATATCAGACCGATATCCAATATCAATATCGTATCGGGACAGCCCTAATTTCCAGCATATTTTGTCTCTTTACTGAGGACATCTCTTACCAGCACAAAAACAAGAAGAAAAAACAACAACTATGGAGAGTACCGAGAAGTTGCTATAGAAAAAAGGATGTGCTCAGTTCTGCTGAAAAGGAAGAGTCGAGTTTCAGTTTCTAGTGCGTTACATCAGCATTTCTACTCCACTTGATCGTGTTTATTGGCTTTCATTCAGCCACCGGGTAAAGTCAAAGAAAAACTATGTAAAACAGACATGTCTGATCTTCAGAATTCGTAGACACGAGGTGTCAATCTGACTCGGTTTATTGGATCCACTTTAGAGTATAATTTTGTGCTTTTACTCGCCACTCATCCCTACTTTGAATTCTCACTAAATGTCTTTAAGCTGCCATCCACGTGTTCCCATTTTCTGTCCTTCTGGCACTTTTGGCTTTACATTTTCACGAACATGTGTAGCAGTGCTCTTGACAGCAGTATCCCCCTGCCAGTTATTTTAGCTCAATCCTCTTGTCGAGCTGTGCTCCAGCTCTTTAACTTAGTCTGAAATTTGGCCATCAGGACACCTCTGAGAGGCCCTTCAACAGTCAGCCCCCATGGCAATCACTGCACAAACTCCCAGCAGGCACAACCATTTCCAATGATAATGAATGAGAGTGTCCAGCGTGTGTCTCTTCATTTATCAGGAATACTCTGGTGGCTTAGAAAAACCACAGAAATGTGTAGTGTGGCACAGCTTAAACCCTGGCTTCTGCAGCTTATCTTTATCTAGATGTATTGGCTCCCCAAGGTACAGGGCTGAGAGAGGTCTTGGCTGCCCCGCCCTGTCAGACGTGTCGTCATGGACACAACGATAAAGGCCCATAGTTTGGATAGAAATGCCGATGCAGCAGAGGGGGGGGATGGGGGTTGGGGGTTAAAAAAAGGAGGGGGGGAGAGAGAAAGAGAGGGTGGGGGGTGAGAGAAACAGGCCTGTCAGCAGAAAGGCCTGTCCAACTAATGCCCTGCACCGGGGCCCAAAATTACCTCCGACTCAATGATCCCATTCACGGCTTCGATGCCCCCCCTCACTGACAAGCAACACAAAAAACCCTGCTAACCTCTCCGTACTGCCAGAGTGCCTCTCTATTGTCTGCTCCGTCACGTGATAACACTAACTCAGACAGACACAAATAGTTAGAGAGAGACAGAGAGAGGCAGAGGGAGTTGTATTTAATTTGGAACGGGAAATGTGGACTACACGGAAGCAAAGAAAATGTTCCACGATCTCAGCTTTTTCATGCCTGCCTGCCAAAATCACTGGCTGCAAGTGAGCAGGGCTGAGAGTCCCTCTAATGTGCTGTAAATGTGACAAGACTGAAACCTCTCATGTGAGATCATCCCAATATACCATCAGTCATTTCTGGGAAGTGAGGTCACTGACAGTTGAGAAATACTCAGCATAGGTGTTTCATCAGGAGCTGTGGATAAATGCAAACCCAGGCAAATACCCCAGTGGCAATCTCTCTCACACACACGCACACACACAACCAAAGCAAATGGTACGACATCCTCGGCTAAAAGCATAATTCACAAATGAATGTGACCAGGTCTAGTGGAGTGGTCTACACTGTGGATGAGACAATACAATACGAAGCAGAAGCTCCAGTTGAATGTGCTGTGTGAGACATCTAGCCAGCGTGGCCGCTCATAAGATCCTGTTAAGCCCCAGTGGAGCTGGTACTCGGGTACCACAATTCAAACTGCTGTGATATGAAATTCTAATCCAGTTGGGGAGAACATGCTTCACTGTGGTCAATGTTTTCTCGCAGATTTAGTAGCTCGAGTACAAAAATAGTCTTTACAGCATGTTCTGGAAATGCCCAATAATTGCACAAACTGCAAAGAGCACAATAAGCAATAACATGGCTCTACATGCTTTGCAGAATTGTGCATGCAGGTTTTTTTTTTCTTGCCTCTGTGACTGGACATCCTTTTAATGCGACTATTATGAATGCAGAATCTACAGCTCTGAGGCTGGTATGCATACAGATGCCATTGTGTAAGTTATTACATCCTATTCTTCACCATAATGGCTATCTCCATGGAGATGTTTAAGATTTACCTCTGCTTATTCCTGAGTCCTTTAATAAGGGCTGAGCGATAAACCAAAAATTTACAGATACTGGAATTTATGACAATAACCGACATCATTTTGCTTATGAATATATTCAATGTAAAGTTGGTTTTTGATGTGTGTAGGTAGGCTATGGTCTCATGTCCCTTTAAGACGATGTCCTATGTCGGAGACGTGACTCCACCCCATCCAGTCCATAACAAAGAAGGAAAGACACGTGAGGAGATGGAGGATGGTTCAAAAGTTGTAGCTGCTGAGGTAGACGAAGTAAATGTAGGAGGGGGTGAGCTGCTTGAGGAGTAGTTATCATCCATTTATCCTTATTGAGGTGAACTGCTCAATACATCATGATATTGATTTGAGGCCATATTGCCCAGCCCTACCTGTAATAGAGATTGTTTAGTTGGTCTTGGATCTGATGCAAAAAATCAAAATGCTTTCACATCCCCCCCGATTGTATCTGTCTACTCTTTCATGACATTTACACACTGTACTACAATCACTTGCATTTAAATGAAGAGATGCATCTTGTGTTGACAAAGCATAATCAATCGTCATTTAATAAAATAGACAGAACTGTCAGGAGGCAGTCAATGTAGTCGAGGTGAGGCTCTGAGCACCGACTGACTAAATCAAGATATTTGTGAACATCTATTTATTGAAGGGAGGTTAGAATAAAGAGGAGAAACAAAGGTTTATTTCTGTTTTCAGAAAACAGTGGATTCTTCAGAGAAAGTAAACTGTTTGTAGCTGAGGCTTGGATCTGGGAATGATGATACTGCCTTTTGCCAGACTAAGCCCTTGAAGGCGTTTTGCTAATGTACTGCACTTCAAACGCACAAAGCGTTCCGTGCATTTATAGCCAGGCCTAAAATATGTAAGGGATTTGCATGAAGAAAAAAAAAAAACAAGCAATGTTTGTACTCTGTTTAGTGTCTCGAGCAATTAGAAAAAACTAAAGAGGAATTGCATCAGAGCATGAACAGGCTGAACAGACAGCAGACTCGTTTTTCCCGAGCTTGATTTCAGTGACCATTCCCTCAACGGTATGTTTGTGTAGTTTATGCGCATTGTCTGAGTTATGTCTCCTTCCAAAAACGGCAGCTTCGATTAGAGAATTATAGAGAAGCCCTCAAAAACCGCATTGATGCTACCTCCTCTTATCACACACACCCACATTGGTAGACAGACTAAGAAATTTAAGTAGCATGGGCGTCTGAGCTGCTCCACTGATATGAGCGTGCTCAATCTCAAACACATGGAGTTTTAAGCTCCCTTGATCTAGCAAAACGGCCCCTAGGAGGGGACACTATTTTTATTCGTTTTGACGTGTTCTCCCGTCATTTTTTTACACTCGCATTTATATCACATTTGCACATGGCCATTTGTTCTCCAAGGGAGCACCAACTAAGTTTGACAACCATTGTGTTCAAAAAAGGACAATTACAAGGTAAGCAGACCCCCTACCAGGCCCAGAGTCACTAGCATTTTTTATCAGAGCTAAAAGCTTCTCACTGATCTTGAGGAGTACAAATTTCCTGTTTTGTCCTTTCTCAGAGAATCTACTATAACCCTTTCTACTGACTGCCCCTCGTCTTCGCACCAACCAGCGCTTAGCAGATACCTGCTGAGTTCTGACTGAGTGAAAAGCCCAGATTCTTTGATCTTCCTAAACTGACATTATTCCAGTGGCAAACCAGGTTTCTCTGCAAAGACAAAAAAAAAAAAAAAAAAAAATCATGATGACATTCAGGCTCTTTTGAATAAGTAATATTTGGCCTTTGAAAATGAGAAATCTCAGCTGGTTAGTCGTGAAGGGGAGGGCACAGGAGAGACATCACAATTATTCTCGGGCCTTTGTTGGGTAAATGAAATGGTTGTGTGTTTTCCAGTACAATGACAGGCGCGCATTGTGTGGATTACTGTGTCACTGGAGCCAAGAGCTGATAAGGCTAAGCTACATCCTTCTGCAGTTATCAGCGCATAGCTACTGGGATTTTGTTCTGTGAGTTATAGAGACGAGAGGCTTGATACAGAGAGCTTTAGTCGGGTGACCACATTACCGGGATGTCAGACTCTAACACTTTATGACGTCTTTTAGAAGAGCTCTGCGACCCCTGTGAATACTTTAAGGTGAAGATCATTACAGAAAGCATTGCGCTAAGTGGCTGGTAAATAAATCAAATAAATAAACCGAGAAGAGCTGATAGCTTTATAAGCTGCCGAAGATTTTTATTCGGTATGGTTTTTCTCTTTTAAGTTCAAAGGATGGATTTTGATATGTTTCAAGAAAGAAACCTGAAATGACTTCAGCTCATGATGAGGATAAGTGTTAGGTGAGTGAGATCCTTTAATAAGTATGTCTTCTCCTCTCTAAATCTCAAAGCTAAAGTCAACAACGCCCAGAGTGCACCAGAGTTCATGAAACGAGGTGTTGAACTTAATGACCATCACAGCTTTTCGTTCACCTCCTCCCTCCGGAAGGTCACCGGTGTTTAATTGCTCTCTATACCTTAATTCAACTTAAAGCTGCTGGCATCGGTCACCTTGTTTAGTCTACAAAGGTTTTAATGATTAATGGAGGGGAGGAGAAAGAGACGAGGAACAAGAGCAGGTAGGGGTAAAATAAACCAATCTGTGTGAGGTTGGAGGCCAGATGCAGGCGGAGACACTGAGACGTCTTCTTGGAAATCAGCCTGTGAATAATAATCCATTTAAGGTGTCCACATGCATCACTTTTTATTGTTTCTGTATTACGCAGGTCATTCTTCGGTGCCCATACGCAGCAGTAACGCACATTCCAAGGGGTTGCTTGGCTGCACTGTACATCCATCACTGCTGCTGCTACACTGCTGCTTCTCCTGCGTCTGAAGCATTTTCAGCCGGACAGAAAGTTGACTCATCGCTGAGGCTCTCGTCGGTGTGAGAATAACCATGAATATTAAACAGCAGATATTGATCTCTGTCATGTATTATACATTCACTGTGATGAAAACAAAGACACTACTTAAAAGAAGGAGGTCAAGTATTACGCACAATCAGACTACTCAGACGCCTGCATTAATTTTTGAATAAAATCTCGGTTTAAATTATTCATCAGTTCAACTGCTTTATATAATCAAACTATTCTTTAGATACGGCTGGCGGTTTACGTCGTACGCACATCATAAAGGTCAGGTATACAGGGCAATTATGTATTACAGTAACCCAGTGGATACATCAGCTGACTACTATTCTCTAAAGAAGCCAATCACGAGGGCCGGGCACTAAAACTGCCTCAGAGCAACCTGTAATGTGACATTATTAGGTCTCTTTGATCTCAAAAGCACAGACTCCAAGCTATTTAGTCCTTCCCCTTGATCATTTCTGTCAAAAACCCATCATAAAAATCAAAGAGACAAAGAAGAAGGCAGTGACCAGGATGAGGTAACCCCTGCTGGCATTTTCACTGGCTCTTGTAAGACTTTTTAATCAGGCCCCCGTCTCTGATTTGTTGCTGAGAGAAGAAACACAGAAATACATTTCTCTCTCTGCACAGAACTATACCAATCAAAGATCCACAGAGACAGTCATTATCCCGCTTTCGGTGTGGGGAACAGAATAGGTGACTTATGCAATGATGTCAATGTCTGGGTCTGCTTTCACCAAGTGGAAAACTAATAGTGTTAAAAAACAGACAGTAAGACTATAGGCTCCAGCTCCATTGTGTCCATCTGTATTAAACATTATCTGTCCAATGCTGCCGCTCAAATGCTATTGCTCAGCATTGGCGCAGTATCTCCCACATCTTAACTGAGTCAGGAGTGCATGTTTATGGAAATTATATCAACAATCACTTAGAGTGTCTGCAAGAAGATACTTATTTATTTTCAAAAGAGTAAGGCTGTTATCAAGGCAGGAAAAACACTGTTGGCGTCTCTGTGGTTAGAGATGGCTGGTGCCAGAAAAGTACCAGTTTGTGTGTAAACATTACACGTTTTAGTAAAGGGAGGAAACATACTGGATCAATCAAAGCCTGACCACTCCTGTATACAGGATTTGTCCCACGTGCAGTGAACAACAGAGAAACAGAAGATGTGGATTTAGACACGAGTTTGTATTATATTGAGGTAGACACAGACAGCTGAGAAGTAAATGGACTGTAGTTAGAGAGCACTCTTCTAGTCTAACCAATAACCAAAAGTGCTTTAACACTACTCATCACACTCACAGTAATGCATTACATGTAACATATGGAATAAAAATGTAGCACTTTGAAGCTTTTTCACCACAGATATAGGAGACTAGATAGGCCAGCGCGCTGTAGCAGTTAAGCTAAGCGTCTGCTAACGTGGCAGCCATCTTGGCAGGGGCAACGTTCCTGTTAAAGGCATTAAATGTACATGGAAAATCATATCTTGGTCATTTCTCGACCGATTTTCACAGGGTTTACTTTATTTTCAACATCAAAATATGTGCTATCAGTACAGATTGATTTTTTTTTTTTTTTAATGAAATGTTCTGTCTTTATGGCATATGTTTTGGCATTGACAGTAGGATAAACCACATGAAAATCAGTTGAACAATGAGTAACATATAATTTTTTTCATTGTACATGCATTGTCTTTAATGGGAATGATGCCCCCCTAAGCTTAAAGGGGTGTGTTTTATCTACTATTCATATCTATTCATATCTATGTATTTTAACTATGGCAGTGACAAAACAAGTAAGAAAAAAAAAAAATTCAGACTGTATGTGTTTGAGATCACATAACATCCCTTAAGATAAAATAAGTTGTTCCACTAATAAAGGAATATCTTATCTTAAGGGAAGTTATGTGGTCTCAAACACATACAGTCTGAATTTGTATTTTTTTAAGCAGTTTAGAGATAGACAGTTCATTACAACTTTATTTTTTTAGAGGACCAAAGGTTGTGCAAATTAATTTTCCAGAAGACAAAGCGTGGGAGATTGACCACCGAGAAAGCTGTTTGTAAGTTATCAAATCGGATAAGATGAACACAGTTGTGCATTAGGAAGCGATTAAATTCTGACAAACTGTCTAACCTCTGGTGTCACTGTTTGACATGAAGTTCATTGAACGCTGAAAGGAGGCAGATCAAGCCACTGTAAATAATAACTCTCATGTGTGACAGGGGGTATGTATGAGCCCTTTCTACGTACAGTATGTGACACCCTTCAAGCATAGCTACACTACGGCACATGGTTAAAGCTTCTCCTTCAGGCTTCAAGTGCTGCCTGTCTTGTAATAAATGTAACCGAATAAATGTCTTTACATTAGTTTTATAGTAGTCTGCAAAATTACATGAATGACCAGCCAGAATCACAATAATAACAAAAACATTAGGTGATATACAAAGCAATGTAGCTCAATTTAAATGTGTTTCCAGTCATATTCCCACAGTCTTGACTGACTTGGAGCCAATGGGTGAAAAAAGCAGACTGAGAACATTAAAATGTGGGGAAGGAGAAAAAAAAGGCTAAATCAGAGGGCAGTTGTATTTCTTATTTTATTGCTTCATTATTACACCACATGCTGAAGGAGCTTTTACTTTCCCTATTCCTTTGTCTGGTCTGTTTTAGCCTCATGCCTTCTTTATGTTCTATTTTTTTTTTTAGCTTTGGCGCACCTCTGAAGACGGACCTGAACGTTTATGGTCCTTCTGAGTCCATTAGCTTTGATGACTTCAGCAAATTTATGGAAACCTCCCACTCTGTTTAACCTGAGGTGAGATGTAATCTGCAAAAACCAACTCCAGCATTCCAGCAGACGGACCACGGAGAGGTCGGGCTGATATGCCGCTATGCAGATGTAGTTTCAACCTGTTTTTAGCAATAATGATTCAATACTAATTAACAGGAATGTGATAGCTAATGAAAATGCAGTGGTCTCCGCATCCTCTCTGCCTTCACGGAGAATAATACCCGTGCCTTCTTTGCATAGCTCTGTTGTCAATCAAACCCATGCAAATGACTAGCTCAGGTAAAGACTGATGCGGTCCAATGCATCCAATTACGAACCTAACCACACACACAAACATGCCATTTCTGTTCAATTTCTCCCTCTTTCTATTTAACATGGACTCATGGGTGCGTGCGCTCACTCACACACACACACACCTTCAATTTTCCTTTATCCGTCTGTGTGCTGGAAACAGAGCAGCCCCAGCAATTTGAGCCAGATTTTAAAAGTAAGGGATTTCACACAGAACAGTATGTCTGTAACAAGAAAGAACACGGAGGGATGAGACGCTCTCACCTCCAGTATAAAATGTAAAATGAAATGCATGGAGATGGAGGACCAGCTCTGGGGCCATTATGTCATGTGTAGCGCAGTTCACGCAGACTTTTGCAGAACAAAGCTAATGGAATTCCTGCTTTTTTGCTTTTTTTTTTTCCCTTTCGGAGAAGTCGGGGCATGGGGAGAAACAAGGAGAAGGCATGCGAATCCTCTCTGGCAGAGAAACAAAGCGGCAGACAAAGGAAGATGAGGCTGACAGCCTCTAGAGAAGACTGTTACACTGTGAGATAGAGGCTGTTTTAGAGTCTCTCTCGAAGAAAAGATTTGTGTTTTACCCAGTCATTTGCAATAAAAAAAAAAAATACATATTCTGTCTAGATAATAACACAAAGCTCCGTATTCTGTATAAATGAACATGCACTAGTCAGTAATGATGTTACTGGAGAGATGGAATATGAAATTCATTTCTAATTTTTAAGAAAAATCATCTAAGAAAGAAGATGAGAGCAAGAAAAGCAGCCCCTGTTCAAGAGGCCATGAGGACATTTGAATTCTTCAGTTTTAAGCTAAATAAAGGACATGAGTCATCATAGTGGGCAGACCATTACAGTTGCAGCTACCAACCATTATTTTCATTTTGCTCACTCGCCCTGTGCATTACAAGACACTTGACAATTTCTTTCCATAACCCCTTCATGAGAGCAAAACAAACGAACATATGGAGGAAAACCCGAGGCTATGGAGTCACTGGGTTAAAAAAACCTGCCTCCTCTGGAAGGTTAGGGAGGAAGGGAAGCAAAAATCCATCCTCAAAACAATGACAGCGAGGAAAAAGAGGCTCCTTCAAAGAGAGGGATTAGGGTAGCTGCCAATACATGGGGCGGGAGCATTTGCCATTGCACGTTTGAATCAATATATGTCAAATTCTGCTTGAAACACAATTAGCCCGTGCTTTAAGAAAAAGATGAAAATACACAGAGGGAAGATTAAAGACAAGCCTGATGTTCCTCTGTGAAGCTTTTGCATTCAACTCGTACAGCGCTCTTCAGGCGCATGACAGCTTGTTATGTGCTGCTACAGTGGAAGAAAAGCAAACACAGAGGAAAGCATGCATTTGTATGAATTTACAAACGCTGTCTTAATGTGTCAATGCGCTTATCCCTTTGTACTCTGCTGGTTCCTGGAGAGATCAAGCTGCAGCTGAAATCCAGAAAGCAGCTCGCAACTAAACATATTTGACCTGCGTGACCCTCCCCCACTCACAGTTGGTACTCAAAAGAGATCAGAGGGGAAGGGGGGGGGGGTCTTTTCTACGGATGGATGGGTGAATAACATCTACGTTGCAAAGGAATTTATGTCTGCGTTGGATCTCAAGGTTGAATGAATCATGTTTTTAAATTGATGGAGCAAACTTGTATACTTCCATAAGACAAAGAAATCAATCTGAAAGCTTTTTTTCGATCGAGACCAGATTGAAGACTTTGAGAGCTTGAGTTATTTTATCTGATTTGGATTGAAAGTTGATACACCGTGTGATACAGACATCTTGTGTACAATTTGGGCTGGTATTGATCCTGGAGTCCTGTTATTTCTTTAGGTCTTCAAAACAGAAGTTCAGCCGCTGATACACGATGCAGCATCTATTTGTAAGAGAAACACATCTTTCTATTAGGGCTGCTCACTTTCATATGCATGACTCCTTTTTTTTCAGGGTGGAGGCAATTTAACACAATCTCACACAACAAATTGACAAACTGCACTGAAGTCTGGCCTTCATGTCAAGCAGAGTAAGCAGAATCAAAACTACACACATTTTTTGTTCATTTAACATGAGGATATGCTGGTGCAACTGCTTCCCATTTACATTTAAATTCCCACTAAGTCACTGGTGTTGAAGTAAGAAAACACAAGAAAGCAGAAAATTGAGCACAATTTATCTGACGATGGAACAGTGGCACAGAAACGGTGGGTAAACTGTGTTAAACTGGTTTACCAATTGTGGCAAATGTCAGCTAACTGGTTATGCATTGCTTAGGCTGACACAGTCTTAAACAATATAACTTCATCTCCTAGATGGAAATACCTCTAAATAGGGCTGGGCGATAAACCAAAAATTTACCGATACCGAAATTTACGACTATGACCAACATCATTTCGCCCATATCGGTATATTTGGTGTCAAAAATAAATAAATTAATTAATAAAAGTTGGTTTTGGATGAGTGTAGGTAGGCTATGGTCTCATGTCCCTTTAAGACACTGTTATACATCAGAGACATGACTCCACCCCATCCAGTCCGTAACAAAGAGGGAAAGACAGATGAGGAGTAGACAAAGTTAATGAGGGAGGCTGTGAGCAGCTTGTGGAGTAGCTATCGTCCATTTATCATTATCGAGTTGAACTGCTCAATATATCGTGATATTGACTTGAGGCCATATCGCCCAGCCCTACCTCAAAATGCCCAAAACTGGGTTATAGATCCAGAAAGTCCTAACTATGTCTTTATTTTGAAAGATGTGTGTTTTTCATTACAGGGAAGGTTCTTTCACACAACCTTACTGCCATCAAATGTCAAATTTCTGAAATCTGGGTCCAATTGTCTCTTAGAAAACAGAGGTGGTGGTGGTAATGGTGCCCTGGCACTAGTCCAGCACAGATAAGTGGTAAAAAGTATCCAGTATGTACATGAATGCACTATTCTGATAACAGTAATAAATAGCCCACCCTGAAAACAATTAACTTTGGAAATTTCTGTGCAAGCCATATTCCCATTTTCCAGTCCTCTGCTTTTTCTGTGCGCACAGGAAATAAGGGCGACTGAACCTGAGCGTGTTATGCTGGAGTTGGAGGTGGTAAATGCTGAGCAGCAGTGGATCATACAGCAATTATTGCAAAGACAAAAACAGGGGTGACAGCAGAGGAGATGTAATGTAAGACCCCGGAATCAGTGTAGGCAGAGGGTGAGGGTGTACCATGCCAATATCCGACGGAGTAAATGCAGGAGAGCTACAAATGCGGTTACATTTGTGCAGAAGTGTGAGTTAGGCTTTCTATGTAGGCTTCTGCTTATGTACAAAGCCAAGCAAACCCCTGTGCCAGGTCAGAGGTTCAGCATAGATGTATAACTCAGTCTAAAGGGATAACAACAATAAATGCTAGTAGAGACTAAAAATGTCAGAAAATCTGTGTTCCTCTGTGATTGTTTCAAAGATAACTCAGGAGTGTCTAATATTAAGATCTCAGTGTCAGCATTTGGAAATTAATAATATAATTAAACACTTGATCTAAAATACAGATTTTAATGTTTTATTCAGATCAAAACTCATCTTTTATTTTCATTGTGTCAGCATTATTAACGGTAGACACCACAAATAGTAACAGACAAAACAGTCTAACTGATCCGTTACAGTTGCCCGGGGCGTATTCAACACTGGGTGTGAACAATTAGCCTTGGCAGGAGTCCAGCTCTAAGAAGTGTCTCCGCTCACATGTATCATCCATGTAACAGTGCAGTTTTTAGCATGTGTGGAGTACGGCTGTGGGACTGGACTCGGTGAGAGGCGAGCCCTCTTACTCCCATGTAATCAGCTGAACTGAGTGGGTTCAGAGGAAGGATCTGTGCAGCTGTGCTTTATTACAGACACAATGAGTCCCAGATTAGGGGAACTGGAAGGAGAGAGGGAGGGAAGAGAGGATAACAGGGGAGGAGGAGGAGGAGGAGGAGGGGTGAAAATGACTCCAAACACATCTGTCCTCAGTTTGTCTGCAGCTATAACACCAAACCACAAGCATGGTCATGTACAAATCTGTCTCCGCTTGGAAAGCCCGCCTGCGGAAATGTTTCCAGACCTTGGGTTTTTAACGCGAGGACCCACGGGAGTAGTCTGTCTCCTCGCGGTGATAGCGATGTTCGTCAGGGTCACACTAGCATCGACAGCGGTGGCACGAGCAAGCAGGTGGCACAGGCATGTGAATCACTGTGGACAGCTTATGGTGCTTTTGTGTGGTCTCTGTTTGCATCTCAGGGAGACAATCAGGAGTGGTTTTATTGTGATGCTACAAATAATTGAAAGTGAAGAGCATGTTTTCTGGCTTTTTGTTTGTCTTTGATAGATGGGCTTTCAAAGGAAAAAAAATCCAACTGGTCAGGATCATAGTGCTCAACCTTAGTCACCCTAACCAGCCCAGAGAGAGAGACACAGAGGGAGAGAGATGAGAGGGAGTCAAGTGTTATGCTATGTTTGGTCTGAGCTGTCCTATCATTCTGCTTCAGTGCAACCTCTCAGGCAAACAAAAAAAATGCAGGTTCACAGCGAGTTCTGCCCACAGAGGCGAGATTCAGCAGAAAGACATCCCACTACCATTAGAGCTTACTGGAAAGCCTTTCTATCCCCCTCAGAACAGCTTACGCACAAGGAGTGATTAAACATCAAACTACGCTGTAGCACCCTAATCCACCACCCAGTTCCTGACGTGCCCCCCTGTTTGTCTTGCTTTCTCCCTACACACGTACATAAAGTTTAGACGTGCTGACGCCTAACGCCGTTCTAAAAAATAATCCCACAATAAGATGCTGTCTTTGAAAAAGGGCCGGTAAGACTCTTTCAGACGAGCTACAAAGACTTCCCTTTGTTACAGTTCACTTGCTAACAAGAGCAGCTAAAGCTCACTTCATGATAAAATGTAATTGTGGTATTTCAAGGCCAAAGAGGCGGGGGCGTTTTAAGTTGGCAACGACTAGCCAACAGGCACATGATAGTAGCAGGGATGCAGCCCTGCTTCTTTGTTAGAGAAGTCGGAGAATTCAATTGTTCCAGGTGGGGTGCTATTTTCTTTGAAACTCTCCGACTGAGCCTGCAGGTATGAGAACAGCAATTCCCGCAACACTGGAATTGATCCTATTTTTTAAAGCACATGAACAGACCAACAGGAATAATAGGGGCTGCATCGCTAGGTGGCTGTTTTTATTACTTACACGGCTTCTCATCTAGGGCTGCTTTCCTCACTTATCCACATTCCTCTGATTCACTGGAGTGGGCACAGGAATTATGACTTTTTTTTTTTTTTTTACAAGCTTAATCCCATTACTTTCATTGGTTAATAAAACCCGGTGCTAAAAGTTAGCATATCATTTATTGTTTTGAACAAAGTCTATATGCACCAGATGTGTAAGCATCCTCAGATGGATGTAGCCATTAAAAAAACACTCCTGAGGTGGTAATAATTATAATAACCTTTTATTCTTTGTTCACACATTCTCTGGTTCGCTAAGGCCCAGCTGCTTAATAACCAATATGATCTCCTTGGCTACTCTATTTCCTCTAGGACCACACCGGACAGATTCAGCAATACACACGGACGCCCAAGATGTACAGCCCAATAACTCACATTATATGAATTCAATAACACATGTCTATAGCGCTGCATGGTTGTTGATGGGGGCAGTAAAACAAACTTTAATATCCCACTGTGTTAGACCTGTTAATGATCAGCTCTGAGGGCACTGAGGCTGTAACTCACTGTCTGCAGCCGCCCCATCCCTGACACAGCCTGCTATTTTCATGCTAACACTTTACATGAGTATTGAAAAATGTCCCTCCGCAGCACCCATAAATAACATCCATTTGAAGTTTTAACAAGCTCAACAGGATCTGTGACGCCAGCGTTGAACTTTAACTCCCCCAAAAACTCACCACAATGTCTGACTAAACACCCTCCATTGTTTTTAGAGGAGAGCATGACAGTGGCCGCTTTTGAAGGTTATTCATCGTGATGCGACTTGGCAGCCGAGGGCAAATAATTAGTTAGTGGAGGTAGGGTTTTTGGCAAGGCCGAGGAGTACAGCAAAATATGGCAAACATGGCATGCAATGAGATCACAGACTGCCGGCCAGCTGTGTCTGTTGATGCTGGGGAACCCTTTCAACCCACTTTCAACATATGGTTCGAATCAAATACATCAGAGTCACACTGAGTTTGAAAAACAAGCAAAGGGTCCGTGTATTTGCTAATGCTGGATTAATTTAAAACATTGAAAACACATCATAAAATGCGACTTGACGGAGAGAGATGCTGACACCGCTAACAAAGCCCCATAATTCAAAAGCACTTTTAAACAAGGACAAATACTTGGCTTACTGTTTGAGTGTAATCCTGTTTTAGATTTGGATCTAAGCGGCATTTGTTAGGAGGTTCAACTGTAACTGAACAGTTGCATGCATTGAAAATCAAGCAATCAGCACTCTAATGTGGTACTGAAGTATCTTGGGACGCTTTCCCACCTCTAAAAATACTGTTGAGGTGGGAAATATGCAAAAAATCAAAGTGATTTGGATTAAACACAGCGTCTACAGCCAAACTTTTCACCTCCTCCTCTTGCTCATAAATCCATGTTTGGGAAGAACTTCCAATCAGCAACAAGTTAATCTTTACTACTATGATTCGAATGCTTCTTTCTGTTAATAAGAGCCCCACCGTAGAGAGCGAACTCAACATAAAAGCAAAGAAGAGGTGAAAAAGTAAAGACTACACCGACAATGGAGAGCCATTAAGTCCAGCTGTGCAACTTCCTTTATTGAAGTGTTAAACAGGGGGCCGTTTTACTCGTTTACCTTGACACGAGGGGAGACAGGATTCCTCTCTGTTGTTTAAACAAACACACAAAGCACTGCAAATGTTGACTTGTTTTGTGGAGAGAGACTGGGATTAAACTAATGAGTAACTAATTGGAGACCACAGACTCTCGACAGTAGAATATGAAAGAAATACTGAGCGCAGATTAAAACTCCATCCACTCTATTTCAGTCATGTGGCACTACAGGGTCAGTTCTTACCTTAAATTATTTTTAAACCATGTTAGATGAGACATATTTCCCTTAGTGGCTAACTTTAATAGTCCTCAATACATTTACAATGACAGTTGAAGGCTTCTCAGAGATGAAACAGGGGCTGACAGTTAACCAGGAAGATCCAGATTTAAGACCGGGTAAGAAGAGCCCTGTTCAATCCACTCACATGACGTGACACAGTCTTTTTCTGACTGTTTTTTTGGGATGAAATATAAAACTTCTACGAGCAGAAACTGGTCAGTTGATACACTTTGATACAGTCTGGGAAAGGGCGTTGTCCATGAACCTCAGTGCGTTGCTCCATCTAGAGTTACACATCCCCCCATCCTTTGTGCACAGGGACAATAACAGCATTTGGGAGAGGGAGGGGGGGGGGCTGCAGAGCTGACAGGGGGGATCTTGTTACCTTCCCAACTACTGCCATAACAACATATGGTGGAAGCTCAGTTACACGACAACAGGTCCGTCTTCCTATATTTCTTTCCTTGCTGTTCGGATGCCTTAGGAAAACGATTGCCGAGCGGTAAACAAACACACCCTGGAGAGAAAGGCAGGGTGTTGAAGCTGTAGACAAAAAGCACGATTGTTGCAACATCACAAAGTCACAATGCCCACTTAGAGACCGCAAAAAAACACCATCACACAAATCAACAAGCACGCGCACTAAAAATAAATTCAGTGCATGTAGAAAAATAATTGCACCGTTCAATAATATTACCCTCTTTTGTACACTCATTTACATAAAGTGGGCGTTGAGGGGTCAAAGATCATCCCCATCACAAATCCCTTTGAGTGAGGCTCACAATGGGCAGGAGCTGAATGCTTTTAGCCTGGCGGCTAAGGGGAGAGCAGCTCCTCCCTAGATGCTGCGTTCCACCATCCCCATACCCGCACCTCTGCTACATCCTGGCGTTAAGGGAGTTGACCGTTAGAAACAAATCTTCCAGCCTGTGCTGTAACCTGAAGCAGTCTGCATATCAATTTTCAACTGAGAGAAACCAGAGCTGTGAAAAGGAAAGGAGGAAGCAGAATTAGGTAGAGGAGAAGAAAAAGAAACATGTGAAACAAAGAGAAAAAGGAGGGGGTGGGTGCAGAGCTCCACTAGTAGTTTTATTGTATCCTGGTCCATGGAAGAAACGGTGGGGTTTCTTTCAGTTGTCACTTTAAAGGACCCATCCGTCAGAAGCAAAGCTGAGTGTAGTCCCCGGACTGGCAAAGAGGGGGACACTTTCCACTGAGCTGGCCAACACTCCTAAAGCCAGCTAGTGTAAATAAGGTTTCCTCATTATGAGCCGCACACAAACAAGGCCGCAGCATTCCACAGAAAACAAAACAATAAAATTTAAGACACAATAGGAGGGGGGATTTTCTGCACACTCACCAAGCGTAGCTAAGCAGACAGTTTACTGCCTCTTACCCTTAACAGCATTTATAGTGTGAATTAACCAAAAAGTGTGGTTCATGCAAAGTGCAATAGGAGAGCATGCTTTTATGAGGGCAGTGAATCAGATTCCTGCCTTGAAAACTACAGTTGTTGTTTTCCGGTCGAGCCTCAAAGAGGGCGATTGTGCCGGAAGCCTAATGATTAAGTATGCAGGCTTCTGTCAAAATAACAGCAGATATCTTTAAGCGTCTGCAGCTGGGACGCTAGCAGATATTGTGTTGCATTCGGAGCTGAAAGGCTCGAGCAGGAAGGGGATAACATGACAGCTGCAGCGACCCGGGATACCGGGAAGACCTGGAAGCACAAACATTTGCCTTTCTGCCTCACTGGAATCCACATTAGGAGGTCATCGGCATTACTGAAACCCCCAGACATGACCCGGTGGCAGCTGTGACGGGGAGTTTACCGCCCAGACACAAACAAGAGCGGGATGTATCCTGCCATACACGTACAGTATGACAGTGGCACGTTATTTTTGAAAGTGAGCCTGCAGTAATAATCTAAATAACCACATTTATAAGAGGGGTTAGAGATGAGAAATGAGGCGAGTGGTAACATGAGAAACCACATTTGCATCATAAATCAATCGGGATAACATCACCGAGGTCATGTGATCTTAGCAAAATACTGAAATGTTTGATGTTGTCCTTGCACGTGTCCTGCTCAATCAGGCTAAGTCCCTCAGCTCAAGTAGACCTGAGGGAGCCTGGCTTTTTAAGATCAATGTAACATATGGAAACACACCAAACGCAGGGAGTGGCGCTGAAGGGTTAGGTTTTAACACGGACGGACAGCTGGAGCCGTGAGCCATGACAGCAGAGAATTCATATGGAATTCGGTTCCTGGTTTTACGACCGTGGAGTTGTGGGCAAATTGTGGAGCTTCTCTGGTAAGAACATTAAAGTCTTTTTTTTTTTATGAGTCTGCTAGCAGAGAACAGGTCACTTTAATGAGAGGTAATGTCCTGCTCATGCTCCTCCTCCCTTTAACGGCGTGCTGCCACAAAGCCCACGCTGGACCCTCAACCACATGAGGGACATCTGGCCCCTCAATCTACAAACATGGTCCTTAATGGGCTATTACGATGTCCAGGGCCTGGGAAATATGCTCCGATTTATAGTCCCAATGTATCCAAACCTAGAATCTTCTGTCTATCATGGCCACATTAGGTTATACGAGACAGGACGCCATCAGACCTAATAAGCCTTATCCTTTCCAGAGGATGGCTATTAAACTCCCCCCTACCATGCCAGCCCGGCCATCAGCTCCCAGTCTAGTAAATTAAACAAATGAATGGCGTCCTCAGTATCACAATTAAAGCGTAGAATAACATGAAAGTATGCAGCTCATTAAAGCTCTCCTCCATCTACACTCCAAGCAGGGCCCGGGAAAACTCAATTATACATCATTTATAAGGCAGACATCCAATGTGTGTATTTTGTTTCATCCTTTCAATGTCAGGCTTGCATTCAGTCCAACTACATGCTTGAGTCTGAGTACCGCTGAAGGGGAGAGAGAGGGAGGCAGGTTACACAGAGTCATTTCAGTTGCCCCTGACAACCCTTGGCTTTTGCCAAGTTGAGCCCTCCTTATTTAAGTTTCCCCTGTCCTTCGTCTTACTCCCTCTCTTCTTTCAGTTGGGGGTCTCCTGCTTTTATTAAGTCCCCTCCCCCTTTCGTTACAAACACAACCACGTTATCCATGTCAAATCCATTGGAGACAGCCTGGGGAAGTCAATATGGAGCCAATAGATTCGCTGTGCAGCTCCTGAGGCAGGAATGGCAAACACAGCTGAAACTATCACGGACGGCTCAAAACAACAGCAAAAAAAAAAATCTTTTTGATATACAGCAAGAGCACCTTTTCTGGGGGGAAAACCTTTCAAACCTGATATTTCTTAACATTAGGTTTAGATTTATTCAGGTGTGACAGAGATGTTCCTGGAAAATGCTTTTCCTCTGAGCCATGTGCTGGTAAATGAAAAAAGTTTAAAGCATCCACGCTCAAATGAAAAGCCGGACATGTGAGAGAAAGGAATGAAACTCTTCTCAGAGGGTTGGTAAGCTTTGGGCCTCTGACAAACCCTGTTTTTAAGCCAACGAAAAAATCTGTGCATGGTATTGAAGCTGCTCAGAAAAGGGACAATTTGAAGCAGACAGAGAAAGGACCGAATGGTTTGTTGAAATACTTTTTCTGTTTAGGTTTGGATGCAAATATGCACAGTGATCAGAAAAGACTCAGAGCAGGGAGACGTGATCAACCATATAGCATCATGCCCTAGTTTTCAACCATCTTTTCTAGCAATTAACACCTGCCAACAGCCTTTCACCCTCCTGTCCTGAGCCGCAGGTGTGAGGAGCAGGCAATGTGTGACCTGATGAAAGACACACTGCCAGTTTAGTGCAGAACAGCCATTTCCCCTCACTGATAGGGCCAACCTTTAAATAGCTTAGCCTAAGGAGGTGTGCGCAGACCAACACACATCAGCACCGAAACTAAAAATAAAACCGTTACCCTCAAGCACAGTTCACCGGTCACACATTAGGTGCAAAAAGCTAGCTGTTCCCTGCCCGATGTGATAGTCAGTCTTGGAATTAAACACACTAGACAGAAAACATGGGAGGGGGAAAGAGTGAACATAGCATCACGGGTTCAAGTTTGAATCTCCACCTGTACAACACTATTTCTCCACTTTTTTCCTTTGCCTGCCCGATGGCCAGAACTCGAGAAGCGACAGTGAATACTAACAATGTGCGCTGGTGTCTCCTGGGCTTCTGTACAGCAGGCTCGGCGTAGAATCATAAATGAGCGACTTTGACAGAAAACACATAGGCTTATAGGGGGAAAAAAAGGGGGTGAAGGATGAGCAGCAGAGGAGGCAATGAATTTAGAGGTTGGGGGATTTTCGATATGACAGGGGGTAGTTATTTGCTGGCAGCAGCAAGCCCTTTACCAACAAAGGGCCTTTCATATTTCCTGTGAACAGAGACAGAGACTCCCATTAATCCCAGAGGGAGGGCTCATCTCAGGCTTCTCCTCCGCACATAAATTACTCTTCTTATGCCCTTTCTCCCATTACTGCTCAGTGTTTACAGCGTAAAGAGTAAAGAATGAAAGTGGAGGAGCCAGCCACACATCTTTAATGTGTTAGGCCACTCTTAAAAAACAGTTATGTCGGCGCTAACTCATAACACATGTGCCAACATTTGCTTTGCTCCGAGCCACAGTCGGGAAGCTGAGGCAACCCCTCTTTGGGTGCGCATCCTTCCTCTTATTCAGTCTCTGTGTGTCTCATTTCACTCAGTCTTTCTCATGTGGGAGGAGTGACAAAGCTCTGCCCAGCTGTCGCATTTTTTGAGCGGAGACGGGCAGAGAACATGCCAATCCCCACTTATCCCGCACAGAATGAAGTCGAACAGTGGTGCACAGCTGCCTGTGTACACATGCTCAGACCCCCTCAGTGGTCTGGTGGAAGGCACGATAAGCAGCTAAGGAGCCGTCGTCCTGCCTGTGTGGCACGCTGAGAAAGGATTTAAAAAGAAGTGGAAGGAGCATAAGTGAAAGAAGGATGGGGACCCAGAGAGAGAGAGAGAGAAAAAAAAGAGGGAAATAGGTAAAAGGAAAAACACGCCCACTTATGCATGTGCCTGGTATCTGTGCCACCTTATTTCCAACAGACAAATCAATGGTGGTGCGATTGCATTTTCCAAGCACACTGCAGACAGACCAATAAATGAAGGCTGGTGGTGATCAGAGGATAGGCTGAGAGGAAGCGAGACACTGCATCGGCTGTTTCATGGAATGCTGTTCCTGCTGTCTGCAGAGCCCAACACACACCTAATGCACTCACACACACACAAACACACACACAGGTTCTAATGCCTGCAGCGGCCCTGTTCATTGCTCTCAGTTCAATGCTTGATATGAAGGTGTCCTGTTTGCTACTCTGCGGATCACAGAAAGCCAAAGTGACATCACTGTCTACCTGTATAATTGTACTGATTAAACTTGTACGAGGTGCCAAAATACGGATGACTCATCTCCTCTCCATAATGCATGATTTGTTTCCTCTGTTGTTCAAGATCATTTACAGGCTGCAGGATTGAACAGAGTGAGCAGGCTAGTATTTTGAAGCAAAAAGAAATCAGGCAGCATCGGATAAATGCGACGTCTCCTGTGTGACATCTCAGCACATACAAGTGGATTTTATTGTAAATCAAATATAAACAAGTTAATAGCCACCGACTCCATCCGAACATCAATTTAAAGCTTCCCCCGGGCCATGAGTCTTTTCTGTTTTGATTTTAAAAGTCTATGAAAAACCGCTAAGTGCATTACTTAACTTCACTTCAACTCAAGATGATAATTAATACACAACATTATAGCTCATGAATAAATATTCTCTGTCAATCAACTAGCCGATCTATCAACAGACGCATGAAGGAACAATGTGTGCCACTGTTGCAGACTACCGTCAGTGTGCGCAGAATAAGCCTGGTAAATGCAGAACAAAGGCTTGTTTGTTTCTCTTGACCTCGGCACTCCAAGACAACACATTCTTGGTAGGACAGAGGAGAAACATTCAAATGAGTTCGTCAGAGTTGTTTTTCCGCTAGTTATCCAATAAGATCCCCCTGTTAAAGACGAGCTGTGTTTGTGTGCGTGTGGAGGAGTAGCTTTGAACAAACATTAAAATGCTGAAGTAATAAAGCCAGGTCAACCTGATGGTTTCTGTTTTTGGCGGTCCCTCCTCAGCATACTTTATTAAGGACTCATCATGTTTGAAGAAGATCGCTGTCAGCTGGAAAGAGGCTTTCTTAAGTTTGCTGTAAACTCTGTCCAACCGTTTCCCCAAACATTTCACTCCCTAAAAGGTTCCTGCGGACTCAAACCATGATTAATGGCTGATAGCTCATTCACCATAAAAACATAATTTTTTTTTCACTAATATATCTTAGTTGTTTGAAAGCTTCATAACTAATGGACAACGCTGGGCGGCTCCGGTGTTTATAATGAAACTTTGTGATTGATAGCTTTATCAAACACTGACAAGGATTTTGAGTTACATCCTACATCAGAGTATGAGGAGTATAAACAGAAAAATGTAATAAATGCCCTTATCTACGGACGGTAACCACAGTTACACTAGCGTAAATATAACAGGGACCACCACTGGCTCTAGGAAGTGCTTTGTCAGCCCCCGCCTTGATCGCTCGAGCAGTCAAAGGTGTGATTTTATCCACCAGGCTGTAATAAACCAACATGGACTTCATGTGCCTGACACATTTAGTAGCTTAAAGAAAACTCTTCAGCTTTTAAAAGGAGCATTTGGTACCAGACCCACAACAGTGAAGAGGCACCAATGTTGCATTTCATCTCTATTTCAATGAGTAACTGGTGTTTGTAGAAAGAAAGACAGACAACCAACACCAAAAAGAGACATGAAAACTGTGTATGAAAGGCAAAGCTACCACGATGATGTTTTTTCACCTCTAATAGCTGAATGTAGCAGACATTTTGTGGAGTATTTCCTGACATCCTCTTTTAGGACTGCACTATGTTTGAACTTAAAGCTTTAAAGTGACAACCATATTCCGCTGCTCTGTGATCACACCCTAAGTGCATGTTTTTCCCCATCAGCGGGCACCCACTTGTCCGCAGTCTCTGGTATAAGCTCCAGCGATATGGAGCTTTTCAGTTCCAAAATAGCCCTCCCACTCAAAAGGTACCACTGCTACCCAGCAGCAGAGATAATGCTGTTGTTGTTGTTTTTTTTTCCATTTTCATTTTGAACATACTGTACAGTTTGATAAGTAGTCCATCTAAGCGCGCAAATAAGTCCCCCACCGCACAAGAGCATGTTGCATTTACAAGAAGCTCTCTCAGGCACACAAAATACTGATGCATTAGTCCTTTACCTCATCCTCTGGCGATCTTGCTGCAAATAAACAAACACTTGAAAAATTCAACGAGCTCCTCTAAATTAATCCTGCAGAGGGGGGCTGAAGCTGCATCACTGATTCTGGCGCTTTTCCTGCTCTCTAAATATGATTTCAGCTCCAAGGCTAGTTCAAATTTTCACGGATACATGTATGGAACAGAATAATTGTGCATTATCAAGAATGTTCTTTAAGTTAGACTTTACCAATAACACTTTCATTGTTCAAGTTCTGCGTTTTCATCTACTGCTTATTTCCACTGGGATGTGATTGGGTTCCTTCGTACAAACAAATGCATCAGGCACAGATAAGCTTCTCCAGAGTCAATAAAAACGGTTTTAGTTGAACCCCATGAGGGACCGAGTATGATTATAAACACAAGTAGTGGAGCTGGAAAAATAACATCATAGCATGTTGATCCAATATAAATGCATGCCTCCCTTACCTCCCACAAGGGTTTTACAGGCTGAGAGCTCAGAGGGAGGATGGGGCTGGAATAACATGTGCTCAATCATCTCTGTCCGTGCAGTCCGTACAGCATTCTTTGTACCCTTTATTTGATTCAAACGGTCGGATTGTTTCAGTGTCTGTCCGGCCTTTGTCTGACGGCAACAAATTGTACATGTAAATTACAGGCTCAGACCCACGATGAGACAAAGAGATTTGCGAAGGAAGAAAAGCGGCTAAGTCTTGTCAAGCACTTTAAACCGCCTCTAAAGGAAAAAAAAAAAACACCTTAATTAGCCATTCTGAGTTTGCAAAATCCTTCATCTGATAATAATGACCTCAGTTCAAGATGTGCTGCTGTAATGTGTTTTGTGCTCCCAGTGTTAATCCTCCAGGCATTTCACGCATTGCACCCTGATCTCTCCCAGACACAGCCAGGGGAGCATTACGATTCAGAGGAACTCCTGCTGTATGTGGTCTAAAGTTCCTCTTTGGCACAAGACAATTGGTCAAAAGTTGCTTAAAAAAAAAAAAAAAAGAAAAAAGTCATGATTTAAATTAAAGAGAAAACTGGAGAATAAAGATGCCCCCTAGGTGTGATCCAAAGCCCAGCTCCTTAATAAGCCCAATTCATTTTCCTCCTGGGTCTGGCTCCCTCTATCACTAGTGACAGGCGTGAAAGGTCAATAACCTTGGCTCATAGCCCTCATATGGTTAGCAATGCCATAAATTAATGGTTGAGGCCGTTACTCCAAACTCTTGGAGTCAGCCGATGGAAGCTTATCTTCTACAAAGGTCACAGTGCTTAGAACACTTAGTGTGAGAGTGAAGGGCTGACACAGGACCTATACAAGATTGAGTGTATCACGTTCAGGTGGACTCAGATGAATGAAGGGTTGGATGCAGGTTAGCGATGGAAAAGCTGTCTCATTGTTGTCAGACTTATGAAGTTTGGAGTTCCAGTTGTGTTTAAAAGATTCAGACTTCATTAAACACTTTTTTGGAGATTAGCATTGCATCAAATAACTCTCGAAAGGAGATTTTTGATTTGCTTTACTAAATGGACTACCACAACTGCAGTGAAAGACACAGGAACACTCTGAGCCCAAATCAATGCCGTTCAACAGCCTCGGGGAAAAAAAATCTACCTTAAAAGCTTTTGCAGAAAGACTTTTTTCTTTCCAAACAAAGAAAAACAGGTCTGACCCTACAGGAATTCTCTTTCAGTGTTTTATAGTCTTTTTGACCAATTCTGTTCCTTTTATTGCCACAACCAGACTGTAATTTACCTGCAGCATGCTTTCAACCATCATCCTCTTTATTCAATTTAATGATTTAAAGTCCCATTCCGATCGTTTTTTCTTTTTGTTTTACTACTGAAAGTGTTATCAGTGATCTTTAAATTGTGATTTTTAGCCAAAATCACGTTACCTGTGTCATTTTCATGGGCTTTTCTTCTGCAGAGCTCCAGTAGCTCATTAGCAATTCGCCTCCAATTCGGCGATGACAGCACTGCTCTGCACACTTCTCTTCCCGTTAGCTTGCAGCCTAATATTACCAGTGTAGTTGAAGTGGCAGGTAACATAGGAGCTATTGAGCTCTCCAACACCAATGTCTTTAGGGGCATGACGAAAGCTAATATCATAATTAGCTTTCTTGTAAGTATTGCAATCCGCTACCGCACGCACTTGTTCCACCATTGTCCTCTCTATACCCCATGGGCTGAGCTTGGATTTGCTACGTAGGAAATCTCACCGGTTACACATGTTGTTTGGGTCTGCCAGAGATTCACAGCAATTTGACTGCAGAAATACTCAGAAATGCAAATATGAAAAAAAATGCCATATGAACATGTAAAAAAACAAGAAAAACATGATTTTCATCGAAGTGGGTCTTTAATTTCAAAGACTGTTACCTTTATTTGAGTGAGCCTGCCTATGTCAGAACTGAATCAGCGCATTTGCCTTTTCTCAACAGCAGGGTTTCCTCTCCCCAGACTCATTTTCATCACAATTTGCAATCTAGGTTTGTTTGGCTTAATGCAGCTGATCTCCCGCTAATCCAAACACAAAATCGTTGCATGTACAATTGTGATTTTGGAGTTATGAATGTAAAAATTGATTTTAATAGAATTAATCATGCAGCTCTAATGGGTGGCGGCTGCCAGCGCTCTCTGCCTAACACAAGTGGGACATAACCTGCCCAGATAAAAACGGCAAAAAACCAAAGGAAATGAGAAACTGGGAGTTCATTTAAACATTCAGAGGGATAAGGAGACCCCCATCTTTCATTCAGGCCCTGGAACAGACATGTAGATAAGAATCTTGATGTCCGACCTGGATTTGACAGCTGGCCAGAGCAGCAAAATGGAGTGTGCTGGATGCCCATACTGCTCTTACTTTTGACACATTAATAAACACTGTTTGCCAAGATGTCGTTTTAAGCGCTGGAAAATATAAGTAAGAGGTTTGTGGTTGAGTAATGTTGACACTAAGTGTTGAGAAATCACTTGATTTAGTAAAACTTGATTAACGGGGACAGCCCCTCCTTACAACAGACACAGTCAAACCATGGTACTGTCTCCACTATGAATCTGCTGCTGTGCTTGATAAAGTTAAAAAACAACCACAGATATTCAATCCATTTAAATCAAAATCACAGTCATACTGCTATGCCACATGGCTTCTTCTTGAGTGCCCCATTGTTGCAGATTTGTCTAATACTCAAGGTTATTTTATGGAAGACAGACTCAACATGCTTGGGGAAATTAGATGACTTTCATGTTGAAGCAGCAGTTATACCCTTCAGTAAGAATGCGCCCCCCCTCCAGCCCCTGTCCTGCTGAGCAGGCAGTGCTACAGGAAATAAAGCGGCGACATGCTGCACGCTCTTTAATGCCTCGGTAAATATCGACAGAGGCAGAGATAATATAAACTCAGACAAAGCAGGCAGCAGAGCGATATGACGCTCGCTGACATAGAGTGTGCTCAAATGGGGGACGAGGAATTGCTGCAGGTCAATCATAATACCCCTGTGGTGGTGACAGACACTGGTGTCAGCAGGACTTGGTAACAGTAGATCACTCGAGACAAGTAATGTGTTGGGCTACATATGCTTATCTGATGAGCCAACAGTTCAGCATGTTCCAAATATCCAGTCGATCAAGATTAAACTAACAGATTTATTCACCATAAATAAAAGAAATGACGACCTTTATTTTGCAAGACAAGCAGAAAATAGAAATAACTCTGGCCCCTAACTCCAAGAATGATAAGATCAATCAGAATCGATTGCAACTTTATTCATATCGCGCTCTCAACAGATGCAGCGGGCACACAGAGTACAGATTCCTCATAAGAAACGATCAAAAAACCCCACAACCTCCACAAAACCTCAGACAGCCATCTATCACATATATTACCAACAGCACTAAAATGCACATCACACTCATGACTGGAGTCGTGAAGCAACCAAGGTCACTCTGTGAAACAAATTCAGTTGTAGAATAAAGGACTAAATGCTACAGTACCGTCCTTGCATTACTCAATTAAGTCCCATCAATCACTGTATTTGGAGCCGAGGGAGCTCCTCTATCTTAACGCGCACGTGCGAGGTGGGGGGAGCAAGGGAAAGGGAAGGGAGTGGTAGAGGTGATACAGGGTTGTATAAAGAGGAGACGGGAATGTCACGGGATATGACCTAGCCACTCATCAGAGGCTAGTGTCCAGAGAGGCGCTGGTGCGTTGAAATTGAAGCCTGCGCTGGAACACAATAGTCGGTGTGGTCGGCAGGAGGTAGACATCTCTTCTCAGGCAGGATATTGGTCTTTGTGAAACATGGTTACAGTATCTGGGTCAATTAACGTGTCCCTGCTTCAAGTTTCTCTTTTATTGTCGGGGGAATAATAGCGTGCCAATTCATGTAGTCTCTTGAACGCAGCATGAGGTTTTGAAAATGTGAACTATGTGTGTCACTTGCATACTGAACAGGGATAAACACAAGGCTGGTTCTGTGTCTGTTTCCTGAATTTTGCTCAAACTATCTCATTAATATAAGCACTGCAGTGTCTGGCTTCCCTGTTGGACCCTGCACACAAAGGCACTGTGTCCGCCTGCTGTTGGAAGTACATCTGGGCAGCTGGTGAATGAACTCTTGTCCAACAGCAACAAAGCTGAAGGTAAATAAAGCTCAACGTATGGACGACAGGAGAAAGTAGCAGGGACTGAGTGTAGCTCCCGTTCACATGCCTGTCGATGGGAAACATGAAGCAAAGGCTCTCAGTGCTCTAATCAGGCTTAACATAATGAGAAAAACAAGCACTACGTGGGAAGAAACTGTGGGCAAAATCGAATGGGGGGTATTGCAAAATAAACAGCCGGGGCAACACAGCAAACAGAGCTTTCTTTGTAGAGACAGTATCTGTGAAAGAGATATGGTGTTGTTTGCTCCATCAGCCAAAAAGGGGCCGTTTCACCAAAGAAAAATGGAACCCAAATCCACAAATCAGTCCCTGGAAAAGTAAACAGTTCACTCCGAGAGCTGATGTATTGTCTTATAAGTGCAAGCTGGCATTTTCCTTTCCAACACTGGTTTCAACATTTCACTCGTGAAAAATAACACTAGCCTACTTAAACGCAGAAATATATGCAGAGAGTCAGGTCAATATAGCTATTTATACACGGCCTCATTACATCGCCGGGTCATGGTATGCACTTCCTGGGTGTTCTTTGTCTTAAATAAAACCTATCACAAGCGGTGTGTCAGCTGAACCCGAGAAAAATCACCAAGAAAGCCTCGAGCTCCCTCTCACATCATGACCAATAGGAAAAGATTGTTTTAGACGATGAAATAAATCTTTTCTCTTGTGACAGTCCTTAGATGGAAGCACACATCAATTTTAAAACCTTAGCAAAACGGCATCAGGGATGGAGGGGCCCAGGTGTGATCTAAAACCGAATAACCTATAAAGCCCGTCTAACCTTCACATGACTGTGAGAAGGAGCAATACAGTTAAAAGGTCCGCCTTTTAGATCTGGTATCCAACCCCCTTGAATCATGTTGGACAGTGAGATTTTGATTTGGCAAATGCAGTTAAATGCAACCTTGTAAAAAACAAATGACATCCTGTGTTTAAGTAGTCACAGTCAGGATTATACAGCCTCGGGATGACTGCTGATTTTCACTCCAACAAACAGATAGTTAAAAGAAGTCTGTGTTACCAGGAGCCGTCTGGGTTAAAGCTAATTATATGCCAAGGACGAACCCCCAACACGGCTCTCACAGGCACAAGAGAGAGAGAGAGAGGGACACCTTAACTACTGACCAATGTCAGAGCCACACACGGTGAGGTGCCAACAGCGCAGGGCAGGGCCTGAAGCTGATAAGAGCGATATGAGCAGAGGTGACGAGAAGCCATCAGGATAATGTCAGCCTCTACAAAATACTTTATCAGCAACGGAGGCATTTTTCAAGTACCCGTCTGCCTCCAAATATAGAGAGATTATTTTCAGGCCAGCCTTTGTTTTTGTTCAAGACTTTGAGCCTAAAAAAGGTCAGATATAAATAAAATATGCCCTCTCCCGCCATGCCACCCAGCAGGCCCAGAAAACACACCCACAAATTAGCCATGGATGGGTGCAATTGCCTCACTACATGACCATTATTATTTTATTTTACAATATAGATGTTAGGCCTGAATAGCCTCTGATAAAGCGGCTATAGCCGGGCATTGTACTCACTCTACTTCCTGGTTATCCTGGAGGCGAACTGCATCAGAGGTTACTTCCCAAAACCCCACACTGCTAAGATCCAATCTGCCATCACAATATGTGGTGGATATCTAGGCCACGATGCTCCCAGAGTTCAAGGAAAAAAAACAACAACTCGGTGACAAGACGAGAATAAATTTATGCAGGCTGATAACAATAAAGAATAAAAGGAATTCAACCCCAATCCGCCAGTGATGCTTTAGCGGGGAATTGGAGCGCAGCCTTCATTACAACATATTGATCAGTGCAAACAAAGACCCTGGACTCATTGATCCACTTCCAGGAAAAAAAAAAAAAGATGGGGGGGATGGGGGCAATGAAGTGCTCTTACAAACAAAGTTAGAGTCAACCTGCTGCCTTGGGTTATAAATTTCGACAAGGAGACCCAAGAAATTTAACCCCACATGAAAGATAAAGATGGTCACCGCAAAGACAAGGAAAATATGTGTAACGTGTCGCTGCTGCCGCTACGAAATTACAAACGACAAGCTTCAGGGTATCTTCTGTCTCTCTTGATTTTTTCTTCTCACTCCGTGATGACTCCTCTGTGCTCTATAGGATCTCTTCTTGAATGGGGGATTTGAATATTAAGTAATTCATGTTTGGCTACTGAATAATTCAACACAGGCACAGACATCAGAGTGGTCCTCCTCATACACCTCAAACCTAAAGATCTGAGTGGCAAACGCTTTTTTCTGACAGTGCGGAGCATTCTTCAAAGTTATCAGCCTATATTGAATATTTTAAAAAAACAACAAAGACTGATCCGGAATTGAAATTCAGCACTTTTGCAAAGCCAGTCCCGAACAGTCCTTGGCCAAGTCCACAGGGACCATAATTATTGTTTACTGTTCAACACAGGTTCAGGGGGAAATAATAACAAACTTAATAATGCAGACTGCCAGGAATCCTGTTTTTGTGATATTCACTTTTGTCTGTTTCTCTCAGTGATGAACGATCAACCTTGTAGGTCAACACAACACGAGATAGGGGTGCCATACAACAGCGGCCTCCCCGGTGAGGGGTCAGGACCTTGTTGGCTGGTCTTTCATTCATCTACACCTCATCAGGAAAACCCCCACCAGCCCCATTCCAAAGCTGTGTCCAGGAAAGAGAGCATGTCGCTGAGCACTTGGCCCAGTTTACAGGAGAGGGTCGAGCGGGGTCACGTCTCGCCAAACACAGGGGCCCCTTAAACACATCTGAGTGGCCCCAGCTGTACCCAAGAGCTATCACAATCTTAACAGAGCGCAGAGAACCGGAACAACATAAAAATGGGTTCAGTCGGTGCAAAATTTCAGGATTTCACGCGTACAATGTTTTTCTTGTCAAAAGGGGGTGACGTTTGGTTTCTTTAACACGTTCGCCTTAAACAAACCGCAAAGAGAGGTAATTAAAGCTAACGATAGATTCACTGCAACTGCTCAGAAACATATACAGCCCTGGAGAGCTTTCCAGTTCGTGCTCTCTATACTGACGTTGACACTAATTGTAACAATCACATTATTATGCCAGTCAACTGTACGTCCCTCCCCCAACTCATCTGCAGAGTCGCCTCACTGGACCTTCTTGACACGCTCACACTTGGAGTATTTGAACCAAGGCAAAGGCAGACTGTAGACATGCTTCTCTTTCATCACTGGAGCTCGCATAATTGTCAAGAAAATGAAGTACAACACAGAGGGATGGGGTGCAGGGAGGAAAAATGAAAGCAGGAAAGATGGTTGGGGGTAGGGATGGAAGAACAGCAGCATAAGAGAGTGTATTAAGCCCAATTAGGCTTTTGGGCTTTTCATTAACCCAGTTTTTAGGGAGGGAAACCTCTGCTGAATAATGCTCAGACTGACTCACTCTGCAACCCTGCTTTAAAAGGCCTCATCTGGAAGAAAAAAAAGCTCCACAATGTGTGTCAGCTCTCCAAAGCCACCAGAATTCCATTAGACACCCAGGGGCAAACCACCCGCAGCCTACCTGAAATTAAATGCAATTTAGTAAAACAAGACGCTTTATCAAATGACTAAACAAGATAAGAGGAAACACGGCACAATGTTTAAGGCTGCTTTCATCTGTATGATGGGCTGATAGGCGCTAACAATGTTTGGTCGTTTCCTTCCACTCGGTATCAGGCCAGAGCAAATATTCCAACCCTAACAGCAAGGTCATGTGGGCCCCACTAAGCCTAATGTGGTTTTGCATCTGCAAACAATGAGCGTAACCTCCCTTTAATGGATCATTGGAGAGGACTTCTTATGGAAGAATAATTGTCCTTCCTGGCTTTTCCCCCGAGCTGCTTTGCCTGGCAAGTTTAAAGAAACTTAGTTTAACAAATCTATTGAGAATCAACGGGGCATCTCCTGGCCAGCTAGCAGTTAAAAGTCTGGTTTACGCCCCCAGGAATGTGATTAAATCTTACTGTCAGCTTTGTTAACTAGTTGGCCACAACTGCAGTCATCAAATCCACAGGATGTCTTTAATTCAGGGCATACAATGCCAGCTGTTTGCATGTAAAGTGCTACCATTTCCAGGGTTTGCAGACCTCAGGATGTGTATTCTCTTGATCAATAACAAAGACAAGAACGTGACTAGATGGGACAGAGATATCAAACAGCTCACCCCCGCTGACTCTGAGGTCAAAAGCAATTCAATACATGTCGGTGACTCATATTTCAGTCACGTTACACAAGGTTCTGATAGTATTTCGGATCCCATTTCAAACAAGCTAGCTATGAAGCTTATCCTTTAAGGGCTGCTGTAGGAGGATGACTGGATAACTCATAACATGGAAGCCTAAATTTAAGGTAAACTAATATTAATGACTCAAACAAGATCCATTTAATATCCTTCCATTCGGTGACCAACATCTTTCAGGGCACCAGTGACCAAGTTAATGAAATGCAAAAAAATGAAAGCATTAGCCGACCACATGTGGCTAGAGAAGCATCAATTTGAGGGAAAAAAAACTCTGCTGTGGTTAAAAACAATATCCCAAAACAGCATGGTGAAAGTTGAGTTGAAAAACTTTGACCATACTCCCCACAATGGGGGAGCTTTGTCTTTCAAAACATGCCACAGGAGCTTTTCATTAGAGAATGCAGTTTCATTAACATCATCCCACGCTGCTGAGCCCTGCTGCATTACAATGACACAGGAGTGCCCCTCTCTGTCAAGTAAAGCTCCACGGTGCAACAACTGGCTGGGGGAGGGGGAAGAAGAGAAAAAGAGAAGAGAAAAGGGGGGCAGCAAACAAAAGGAAACCTGATTACCCCTGGTCACGGCTCATCCACGAGCCAACAGAGGGAAATCCATCACCTGTGGGATCAAACAGGAACTTGTGCACAAGGTAAAACCCAGTGAAAGCTGTACCCACCCATCTAAGCAGTCTTTTCCCCCTCTGCTTTCTTCCCTCGTCATTGCTACCTCCCCCTCCACCTCTCTGACTCACACCAACGGCTGCTTGCAACTTTTAGGCACTAGCTGTGAAATCCAACTCAAGCGAGAATGTTCTCAGCTCCAAGTGACCTCAAGACTCTAACCTCTCTAATGACACACTGGTGATATATTCCAGTTTTCATTACCGTTTGTAGGATTGCATACTGTTTCTCGCTAGCTGCATCCATATTCTGCCGACAATAAACTCCAGAGAGGCAGTCCTGCTACTAGGTAATGAACTGCTGCTGAAAATCATAATTTTTTACTTTCTTTTATGCACCTGGTTGTTTGTTAGACAAAATATCAACCTACTACAGCTGGGATTCTCACAGAAGGACAATTGCAGCAACAAACACTTTGAAAGACACTAAAATTGCTGTTATTTCTGCCATTGAGTGGGTGTAGTATTGTAATACAGCAATTGGAGACATTACCATATAACTCTAGTATGAAGCTTAGGGCAAACAAGAGATAAAATATACAGAGGGAATGCCCTGCATATGGTTTACATTGGAGTTAAAGCTGTGGAAGTACAATTTAATCAAAGTTATGTTATATTTAGAGAAGCCAAAAGCTAATCAATGGCAAACTGTAGTTAAAATTCACCAGCAGTAAGTTATTTGCTTGAATGTAGTTGCATTAGTATTTTAATTTGTGTATAATTTATTTTAGTCATTACAACAAGAATCCTCCCAAATGCAATCAACACCGTTTTCCAGCTGGAAAAATTATTCCAACAAGATGCAAATTTTAAAAGCACAAACTCTCCAGTCACAATGTACAGTCTGGTAAAACAATTTGCCAGTGTTTGTATCTGCCTTGAAGAGGAAAATAACGTGTAAGCAAAAATGGACAGGATGCTGTATGAAGTGAAACCACACTGTGATAGTTTACGAGGCAAACTACATGACTTCCAACACCACACAACTACACTGGAGCTAATTGTTTAAATATGGCAGGCTGGTTCTGCTCCTTCGTGAAATCTCACACATGTAGACAAGCACACTCACCTCCCATACATGCTGACACACTCACACACACCCTCAAACGTAGACATAACAAGAATCCAGACCAGAACGGTAGCCACAGTAGGAATATTTCACCACTCACCATTGACAAGGAGCTGTCCTTTCTCTGTCATTTCTGGCACTGCAACCTCATACACATCTTCAGAGAAGCCCGGCCGGCATGGTGGGGTGCCCCTGCCCTCTACTGCAATCTGTGATGGGGGGAAGGAAAGGGGGGGCAACAATTAGTCATAAATCAACCCTCAAAAATGCACTCTGTTGCCTCCAAAACCCCTTGGTCACGTTCTGAAGTCCCTGCAGTTGTACAAAAGCATCTGTTGTTTTTATAGCAGGGACTGCAATTAGTATAATGAGGCCAAAAGGGTTAAGCATTAGCCAAAAAGCATGGCTAGGCAAGAACAAGCTCCATTTGTCCCCATGGAGAGGCCCAGGCACAGGCAAGGGTTACGACCAACTCTCTCTCTGTCGGCCTCTCTGATCAACACGCTGCTCTGGACAAACACTCCACTTTGAAGTGTAGGAACGAGGGAATATAAAGTAAATGCTAACAATCCACTGTTAGAGGAATAAACATGAGCAAAGTCGGGGTAAACGAGACACAACTGGTAATGTCTGAAGAAACTGTAGGCTCCAGTGAGATCAATAAGTGCTTATTTTGCAATGGTTTCAAGAAGGAAAACTCTTCGCACAGGGTGTCAACACAAAAGACTAGGGAGACTAATAGGCAATGATGCAAAGGGAGAAAAATGTGTGATTCACTGGCATTTGCAGGTCTCTAAAGAAAGAGAACTAGATCACATCTGGATAAAACTTTTTAGTGTCCAAATATGCTCCATCTTACAGCCCCAGCTTTAATTCAGCTCGTAGGAACAGAGGGCTGGCTCTATTTCTTTACATGCACTCTCAAAAGAATGTAAAACGAGAGGAGTCCTGCTGAAAAAGAGCATTGTGGGTATCCGTGCCACTTGCCATTCTTAATCAGAGGAATTTAAATGGAAAATGCTGGCAGAGAGAGGGGGAGGAGCAGAGCTGGGAATGCAAGCACGTTACAGCGGAATATATATATGCATTTCCAGCTTGAACACAATCGCCAATTCATAGCACTTGTTTCAAAGATGCTGGGACTGCATTGTTAACCGTACAGCTGCAATACAGAACTCCATTTCAATAAAGAAAAAATAGTAAATACTTTCCCACAAAATAGACACAGTTTCTGTCCTTGTGGTTAAGCAACAATCATTATCCCATCATGTAGTTGAGTTATAAATTATGCGTGCTGCAACAGTATTATATGGTACGCTACTTTTCATTGTTGCACATAAGGGCTTTTAGCAGACAGACAATTATCTCACCGGGGGACAGAGTCACGCTGCAGCAATCTACATAAATATTAAACCTAAACTAAATATAACGGAGTAAAACTAGGTTAGTGTGGTCCTGTGGCGTTCAACTATTTAAACGGGGCTTCGTCAAAGCTAATTTTATCGATCCTGATAGTTAAAAATTAATCCGAACGTGCGTAGTTTCAACAAACACAGCGTCTCGTGCGCATACAGTAACAAGAACCGTTAGCTAGTATCCCAGCGCGTGCTCAACCGTACTTGAGGGTTAATTTTCTGCTAAATTCACGGCATTGTTTCCCCGTGTAAAGTGCCCCCTTGAGAGGCTAGCAGCTCCACCGGAACTCAGAACTCAATAAACAACATCTCCACAAAAACAACAAGCACCGAAAACTGTCCGGTGTAACTCCGCTAGCGAGGAAACTGGTTTGAATTACATTACCTGCAGTCCTGCCAAGACCGCCAGCAGGAACAGACCGCTGCCCTCGTGTAGTGAGTACATTGGTACGACCGTATCTGCTAAATTTCCCAGTTCGGAACCCGATTTAAAAAAAAGAGAGAAGTAAAAAAAAAATTAAAAAAATATCCCTGTGGCACAAGGGTGGCCGCGGTGATAAATGTTCCTCCCTACGACAAAGGCAGGAGCAGCGGTAGCAGCAAGAGCGGTGGTGGCGGCGGCAGCATGTAGCAGCAGCCTCCTCTTCTCCTATCTATCCAGTTCAGTACTGAGAGGGAGAGCACTGCCTGGTACTGAGGCTGCTGCTGCTGCTGCTGCTGCTCCCTCCCATCCAGTCACACACACAAAAACAATAAGAGCCCCGGCCACTAGTCTATAAACCGCCCATCTCTCTGTCTCTCCCTACTGGTCACACAGCCAATTTCACTGCTGGGACGGAGCAGGGTCCCCTATGTTAACCATCATCCCATATGACAGGGTATTAAAATATTAACACCTAATAGTCATGTTCACGAGTGTGTGGTGGATTATGGTGGTCTTGTATTGCAATTTGGGTTCTCTCTCTTAATTTCTTTGTTTTTAAATTTCTTTTGTAACATTTTTATCTTTGATCTGAATATATTTAAATGTTAACCGTCCTCCTGTGTTAGGGTCTGGACCAGAGCCAGCCCAAGCCTCAATGGGGCCCTAAGCAAAATTTGATTAGGGGGCCCTCTATTTCTGCCAATAATATTAATTGTTGATCATTCACACACCTTCGCAAATCTTTTTGATTAACATTTCATGACATGCAAACATACATTTATCTTGGCGTTTTCCCTCTTCTTCCTCCTTCTTGCTCTTTCTTTTCTCTGCTCCTGAAGGATATGTCCTTTTTTGCGACAATGTTTTGCCCCACAACTACCTGCGCTTTGGATGCTCAGCGCACATTCATCAGCAACAGCACTAAAATATTTTTGCTTTATTTTATTTTTACAACATTATATATTTGATCATACAGAAAGCATCACTCATATATGCAAAAAATAAAAAATTATTTAAAAAATGTTTTCTCATTACTCTTGGGTGCCCCCTATTGGCCGCGGGGCCCTAAGCAGGCGTTTACTTCGCTTATGCCTTGGCGTTTGGTCTGGTCTTTTTGATTTTAAATGCTTTAAAGAGCCACTTAAATTAGGTTTTTTTTTATTGCATTTAGACTTTTTGAATTTGTCGGGAACCTCTATTTCAACAAAATAAAAACAAAAAAATTTAATTGACTAAATTATTAAATTCTCTTATTAAAATTATGCCACTTGTCGTGTTAGGGTCGCCATTCACCCGGTTAGATCAATATCTATAATCAGAGCAAAAACTGAAATCATAAGTGCACAGTCAGGCACCACACTGACAGTCAGATCCTCTTCCAATAATGTGAGATTTAGGAAATTCTCATTTTGTCATGTTTTTCTCTGCACAAAAAACAACATCAGACATGTCCAGAAATTTGAGATCAGTTCAGTATGGACATTTGTGTGAGGGGTATACTGACAAAGAAATAAAAAACTATTATAAGCAATATTTTCATGGATAATAAAGCCCAACAAGGTAACCTAGAGATGAGAACCAAATTGGATGATAGAGAATTGTTTTAAGTGTAATTTACAGCTGATTTGAGACACGGATCAAAACCGACCCTTAACATGGTGGGTGCGTTGTGAAAGCTAACACAGGAGGAAGGTTAAACTTTTGATAATTGAGTTATGTTTAACATAAACTAGCCAATTAGGTTATACCTATTAAAACCCAAGGTGATCTTACTACTATCCATTCAGAGCAAATCAAATTAACTTTAAAAGACATGTTTCCTCATTACAGATTACAACACCCTATGTATTTTTCTTTGTTTTAAGGTCAGCATAAGGTCTGCATTTGTTTGCTTTCACTCACCACTGTTCAGTCACACAGAAATCAAATTTATTTTCACATGCAGTAAAGACAGCAGATCAAAACAGACATTGCCAAAATACCACAATATACCGCAGCAATTTTGAAGTTAAATCTCACAAAGAGTTCTATTATGTCACTAAACTGTATCTGTATTGTTTTTCATTTGACTTGAATAGCTTCAGACTCTTCCGAGGATAAAAATGTCTCTTGAATGTCATATATATCATTTATTTAAGATTCAATCACCGGTCTCTCAACCCACAGGCTCTATCAACCGTTTAAAGAGATTTTGATCAAATCGCCTTTCGATAATTGCTGATTGCCGCACATTTGATATAAAGGACTATAAATGTCTGTTTTTTTATGGGCTAAATCTATGTACTGTGTGCACGTTCGACACAGATTCGCTGTCACATGAGCTCCCTCAACGCTGTCCTATAAGCTCTCTGTTTTGCAAATGACTCTTTTAATGTGAAATTTTTAAACTTCACGTTCTACGCATTCACCCTCACTGAAGTCTGTGAGTAAATCTTTTTTCATGTTCCTTTAAAATATGCAATGAATAATTCCCTCACATTATCTTCTCATGTGATTCGGCCTGATGAAGGTTAAATTACTTCGGTTGTGCTGCTGACACCTAATTAACCATCAAGAGAAGGCTGTATGGAGTAGATCTCATCTGCGACATTTTAGATTGGTGGAGGAGAAAAATGTCTACTTTTTCCCCAATTAAAAAAACAAGGGTTAACTTTTGGTTGACCTCCCCCTGGGCAATCTGTTGTTTTTAAAGTTATGGACAATTTAAGGTACAGGTGAGTATTTTCAGGGAGTGGTGCTGCTCCTTTCCTCCAACAAACCAAACCATCTGCCCCCAAGTGTATGCTGCAATCCTAAACAAATACCAAGCACCGTCACATTTCACTTTCAGACAACACACTCATAAACACAAACAGGGAGGGGGCTGAGTAGTTTTTGAAGGAGCATGCTGCTTTAAACAAGTGACTCATGCCACTTCACAGTTGTTATCAATAACCATGCCTGGTAATCAGTATTCAAATTTTTTTTTTTTCTTGGATAAAAAATGAAATCAGAGAAGAAAAATTAAGCAAAATGATGATGACATCCTTTGCTTGTTATAGTCATGGTTTTCCAGGGACATAATGAGAGTTTCTTGACTTAGGCTGATATGTCTTGTTTTGCTTTCTTAAAACGTTCAAGTTATCACCAGGAATCTGCGAAAAAAAGTGAAAAATTAAATGCTGTTTAATGGCTTTTAAAAACTGTTTCATCTGATGAAAACTTAGTGGCCATCTAGAAATAGAAATAGTTAAAACAGTCTGAGAAATTTCAAGTTACATGATGGTATGGATGTGTGCCTTGGAGATGAGAATACTACTCGCTGTCTTTAGTGATACTGGGTTACAAGCATTTTTTTGGGATCTTTCTCAACCAAGCGATACCAGGTGCTCACATACAGCTGCAGCCTGCATTGCTCATCAATCAGCTACAAACTTTATCCAAAGCCAGAGGTGAAATCAGAAAATCAGCCAAACAGAAGTCTTCAACGAAAGTATTCTTTCTTTGTTGTCTTATTGTATATTTGCAAAACTTGTGGTGCACACTATGCAGTGTTGGCTGTTTAAGGGAAACTGAGATTAAATTACAAACTCTACCACCATAACAATGTCCGTCATGTATTCTTTTTAAACAAAGGGGCATCCTCTGTGGCGATACACTTAACACCAACAAGAACCTAATACAACCCCACTTAAAAAGGAAACAAAGCAAAAGACAAAAACAGAATTATCCTGTATTCCCTGTATCTAACAAGGCAGGTGGTTGATTATTATGGGGTCGCAAACTAGATTTAAGAGCAGCTATTGCCACCCTAGGCCATCCCCAGCTCTTACAGCTATTAAAAAAACATGGCAAAACCATGTTTCAGATTCAATCTGCACCTCTTTTATTTGCTACGACTGAATCAGGGCAAGAGATCAAACTGAATGACCTGTTGATAATTGATATCATATTTTGTACAAATTGTTAAATTCGTGTAATGTAATCTAATTGAGAGTGGGATCAGAATGCCCCCATCTCTTTGATTAATGCAGAGGCGGTTATCTTTCATCAGTACTTGTCTGGGCAGAGGGGGGTGGGGGGCATCGGTGGGAATCCAATTTGGAGTTGGTGTATTCAATCAAACAATATCATGTTGCATGATTCATAAGACTAATCGGAGACCCCCTGAGAACCCTGCGTGCAGCATGTACCTGAATTAGGCATGGTCTAAAATGTGCAATCAAAGGGGAAATTTAGCACCAAGGTCAGTGTGCATTCTGTGTTGAATATATTCCCTTGCCTGTGGGATGACAGATAACATAGTGTCGCAGGCATGTGTGTAAGGCAGCCGTATGATGCATGTTGCTTGTGACGCTGACACTGCGGTTGACTCCCATAAACGCAGGTGTCCAAGGGGCTGGTGGCCTGTGTGAGCCCTTGATTCCACACTTTTTACTCTGCACAATTGGATGAAGTGTGGAGCGTTGCAGCACGGTGGCCTTGATGGCACACAAAGAAAAATGGTAGAGGTCAGCAGCACTTTCACATCTGCGGCAATTCCCCCTGCTGACTCCCTGTTAAAACAGGAATATCACACAGCACACCCTCTGCACTAAGATACTGTAATCAGAGCTCTGTCATTTCCACTGAAAGCCAAATATAGATGATTATATTCAGTGACACACATGCAAATAGCCTCTTTTCTTCCAATGTAAAGGCTGCCTATGTAAACTCCTAAAGTTGCAGTTACATTGCATTTGAAAAAGGCCCTGAACCTTGATATTTTATCACTAAAAGAGAATGTACCTTCTTTTAGATTGAACTCATATTTTCGACCCTTTCAACTCCTGGCTCATTATCCTTTCATCAGCAATCCAATGTGTGTCAAAGGTTGCTTTGGAACAAATTAGCGTTTGGAAAGGAGCAACCCAGTCCTCAAAGCCATTATCAATTCCAATCAAACTTCATTGTTATGCATTCAATAAAGCTTCTCCAAGGACCACAGTGATGCTGTGATTATTCTCTGCCTTCGCCAAATAGCTCATTTACTCTTTCATGCAATTTAAACAGTAGTGCCAAATACAGGATGCGCACTTCACACATGTTCTGTGTGCAAACTCATTTTTTCTCTGCATGTGTGAATCATGTCTTGTAAACCAAGGCCTTTCTATGTCATCTTCTGCAAATGTTGAACATGACAGACGTTTAGGAAAATATTGCATGATTTCTTCACAGAAAGTCATAAGCTTAAAAGGATCTGATTATATAATATTGGTGCAAAGTGACAAACAGTGACAGAGACATCCAAGAACATTTCCGCTGAGCTTATTCTCTGTAATTTCCAGTGAAAAGACATGTCAGTAAAGCAGCTTGGTGCCACCCCCTTGTCGACGAATAAAGGAAAAATGCTGCTTCGC